TCGATAATCCAGTTCTTCGGCTTGAAGACACCTGTTAGCTGCTTCACTTTCAGGAAAAGGTCCTTAGTCTGCACTTTATCAGCATGTCCCTCAATTTCTTCACATATATTATTGATGTGCTCATCTCTGTCACATAGCCATACAAGTCCATATAATACTAATCGTACGAGGGCGGTCCGGAGTGATTGCCGGGATTGCTCTAAGAAGCTGTGACCTTTAATATTAAGCCAGCTAAAAATATAGCCGTCAATTAAAATCTTCATACATAATCCCAATGAGAATGACAAAATAAAACAAAGTAATCTTAAATTTATTTTATTCATTATGAATTTATTCCAAATCATTAAACTTTAGGAATGCATCAGGGTACAGCTTAAACAAAAATAAATTAAGTACTAAGTTATAAAAAAAAACCTATCATACATGGGTTTATCATATAAACCATTTATTCATGTGTACTTCATCTGGCTCTGTATTTACATTTTAAAATATCAGTGTTCCTATTTTGTTATATACATTGAGATATAACGAATCTTAGATACAGTTAAGTTAGCTCGAAAATAGCAAGGATACGTAACAATTGACAGTCGTTCTATCGTCCGTTTTAAATGTTCAATCTGTGATTTATTTAGAGTTTAGCTGCCTACAGACAAACTGACGGTCTAACAAATGTAAAACATCTTCAAGACAAAATTCTGTGAAACGACCGCCGCAATGCATACAGATTGAACATATACTTCTATCGATAAAACTAAAGATTACAGTCGTCATATATAAAAAAGAATCAATATTACATAAATATTGACAGATATACATGACACATAGGTAATTCTGTTTTTAAATGCCAAAGTTCTAAGGCACGATTTTATTACAATTTTATGATATTAGATTTTAGTAGACCACTTTGAGAATGAATGATGCAGGTAAGATGTATTCATTGGCTTGTTGACAAAAGCAACTTTAGTGCTGTGCTCTTAACAATTCGAAATGCGATTTGAATTTTTATTTTTTAAATAGAACACATTTAAAAATTCTCGTTCAAAGATAAGCGCAATAAACAACACGACTACAAACTGCACTTATTATAATATCTTAATTCATCAATTGTCTATAACAATTATCCTTTTGCTATTTTCACAAACTTAGCCACCGGATTTGCACCTCATTTGGCACCAACTCCATTTGCTTCATACGTAACAACCACATTTAATCTCAGGTACGGAATCGCCGAATAACAAAATCAAACGAAACACATCACATTTCAAGACAAAATAAGTACAATAATTAAAATTAATAATTTTTCATCACGGTGTCATTTGTATGGAATGTCTTTATGTATTTATTTTAGTAACATTTTATTTTCCTTTTTTCTTTTCAAACTGTGCGGCGAGTACCGAGGACTGAAACCATTTTGAAACTTGAAAGGCAGTTCTCGGTAGCTCTACGAAATAGTGCCTGTATTACATGACGCCACCATATTCATTCTTTCCACCTCAAATACTCCATGAAGTCAATCAGTTCCTTGAGACTGGTGACGACCTAGCGAACCGGAGTACCAATATATTGTGGTTGACAACAAAACCATGTCTCAAGATAACGTTACATCTTCATCAGATTTCATATACACTATTTAGCGTTTACAAAAATTTCGTCTGAAAAATATGTTTGCGCGTTTACACAAAGGCAAATCTATTTGACAATGTACACTCTAACAGTTTTCTCTGTATATTTGTTTCTTGTTTTTCTTGAAAATATTTTTCCTACCTTCTTAAGACATGTTGGAGATGCACAACTGTATAGTTAGATTGTGAAAGACTCATATCAGAGTTGAGTTCACCTTACCTTTTTTACCCTATGTACGCTTTTAATTCATTTTTTTTGTATGTACATTAATTATCGAATTTATTTATTACCACCATATTCCTATGAGTTACTTGTTACATCAAAAATCAAAACGTAGGCCTGTTTTATTTACTAGAAAAAAAAAAACGTCATTCAAGCTACATATTTATATAAACTACAGTGTGACTCTCTTTGTGCATGATTAAAGCCATTGTAACGAATGAGTTTAGTTAATGGACCAGGTTAGGCAACAACTATCACATAGCGTCCTAATTCTACACATGATACACACTATTTTTTTTATTTTACCTGTTATAAACAAATTTATTACTTACATAATGTATTTTTATATACTATTTATTAACCGGGTTCTTAAAAAAAATTCGTAACTTAAATTACATATCGACATAACCGTTTGATTTTTTATTTTCTTCTTTTGTACAAAAATCGAAGTTTACGCAACGGACAAAAATACATTACAGTTAGACTTAAATATGTATATTAAATTTACCTTGATTTTAGGCTGAATACGATATTCATAGGAGTAAGTAATTAATATTAACATTCTATAACAAAAATCTTAACAACTTCAATTAACGGCGTCTATTACAAACAACATAATTATGTACAAATACAAAAATATAAACCGTTCAGTTAAACATATATATATATATATATATATATATATATATATATATATATATATATATATATATTTATCCCCCGAACAATTAGACGTCCTCTGAAGAAAAAAATGCATTTAAACTGGCGTCCACCTGCTTTTGGCGTCCGCATACTGGACGCCACTTTGATAGCCAGTGGGGTTTACGTCCCATTGGTCCTGGCTAGCCGTAGGACAAATATCGATAGAAGCCAAATTATCTCTTAAAAGGCTGCAATAATATATTAAACAGTTCGCGACGAAATCGTAACGCAGGTGTGGCACTGCTGTCGCGCGTATATTGACAGCCGCATATNACGAACGCAAGAAGAATATCGCGAAAAATAAAATTATCGGAAAATGACGTATCTCACGGAGCTGGAAATCGAAAAACTAAGCAATATTCATTAAGACATGTTAAAAAAAGCAATGGGAACTGGAGGACGTCGTAATGATGCACGACGTGCAGACGCCAAAAAGATTGTAGGATGTAAATATATATATATATATATATATATATATATATATCTCGACGCTTGAAAGGCAAACGTGACTAAGTGACAATAACTGCTTTGTACATAAATGATAGGTAATAACCATATTCGATGCGCAAAAAAAATATATTTCTAGGTCTATTAAAATCATTTCAATCCTACAGCTACTAGCTAGATTCTACTACAGCTAGATTCGTTAAAATAAATTTTGTTTTCAGGTATTTCAACTTTAAATTAGTCTACTGTAAACGTTTGCCTTTCAAGCGTCGATATATATTTTTTGTGTTCAATAACGTATTAGTTTTCATCTAAAATGTCATTATATATTTTGTTAGAAATATCAAATAGTTTAACGCGGATACATTAGTCGATTCACAACACGAAAGTACGAATCACAAACATTAAAATGAGACTATAATCGTGACATTATAAAATCACTTCACTCGATATTTCAATACAGTTGAATACCGAATAAGTTCATGTGTGTGTGAGTTTGTGAGCGTGTTTGTGTGTATGTGCAGCACATTTATTCTATAAACATTAAATGGCACAAACTTTGTAACCGTAAACGACTTTAGGTTTTAATACCTTAATATAATAACTACACCGAATTATATCAACGTAAATGACTACAACCGCGACAACGAATCGAATTAAAAATATCCAAGTTTATTCTGTGAACGGTACTGTTCATGTTCTCTTGGCGATTGTCTTTTTGAAGTGAAACTTCTAATGCGACTTCCGACGAGGTTGCGTTTTCGCGCTACCATACTAGAAAGAGACAGGGCGAGAGTGAATGCGCGTCACTCGAACGCATGCGCGTAGTATACCTGTTACAGGCCAGCGCGAGCGTTAGCAACGAGTAGCGTCCAATATTCTAATGAAGTATTTAAAAAAAAAGTTTTTATTTTTCTATCTATAATTTAAAATATATAAAATACTAGCTGACCCGGCAGACTTCGTAGTGTCTCAATCGATAAATAAAAGACCTAAGCTTTTGTATAAAATAAACTTAAAACAAACAAAAGGAATCCGTCCGACGGGGGACACATCAAAGGAAAAACAAAATTGTTTTTTTTTTTATTCCAAGCGTTTTCATATTTGTTTACCTTTTAAACCTTCTCTGGACTTCCACAAATCATTCAAGACCAAAATTAGTCAAATCGGTCCAGCCGCCCTCGAGTTTTAGCGAGACTAATGAACAGCAATTCATTGTTATATATATATATAGATAGATAGATACATGTTGAAGATGTCGCATCTCTTATACACAGCATTCCCTATTACAAGAGCAATCTGATTTAATGATGAAAATGAAGAAAACTACAATACCACACATCGAAAAAGAAGTTTCACTTCATTCACGTGCACCAAGTTGCACGTGCTTGGTTTTTTTTTTTTTTAAATCACTCATTTCATTCTAAATTTCCAAGTTTTTTTTTTCATGCCAGTCCCTTTGTTTCGCTTCGAAATGTAGATTCAATTTTATTACGAGTATATATAGGCGGGGAACTGCAAGTACATACGTACATATATTCAATATTCGTTCTTTTTGACGTATCACAATCGCCAGTCGGTATTTAGTACATATTATGTTACTGACGATCGAGTCAAGCGCCACGCCTCGACATGCGTTCAAAGTTTAGTTTGTAACAAAAAAAGGCAGTCCCAATTGAAACGCGTGATTGTATTACGCCAGAAGTACTATAACTTTAACTTGTCCAGGGCCACAATACGTTCTACGACCAGTGTGCTTAGTGCGAGTCTTTTAACGTTCTCGATAGCGTAAAAGTTAACTCAAATTTGTATGCAGTTGGAACAGCGCCCCTAGCGGCAAACGTAGGGAAGTGATCGACATGTTAAAAAAACTCCCACTAAGCACAGCACCGTTCCTCAATGCGTCTTATTTATTCATAATATTAAACCTTGCTGAGCTTATTTTCACATATTTTGCAGAAAACTGCACAAAGATTTTTGAAAAAAAAAAGAACCTATATAAATAATACAGCAATCAATGCTAAATTCACAGCAAAATAATTTTAAATTGTTTTTAACTTATTTAAAACGGGATACATGCGCGCGCTAAGACACGTCCGTACAGGTCCGCACTTTCTACGCATGAATAAGTCGATCTATCGACGGTTTGCGCTCAAAGGATTAATATTATCAACAAAAGAACGACATAAGTCACTGATGTTTTACTAGATTCATTATAAATTACACAAAGTATAGGTACATTTTGTGATTAATAAAATAGGTAAGAATTTTTTTACAAAAACACTGATTTATCACTTTACATATTTTTGCAAATATACTCAGAGGCATAATTAGATCCATTAGAAATTACCAAACCTAATGCAGCGTAATAAAAATCTGTTAAGATTTTATTTGTGCTCATTATTGACTCTATTCCGACGTAATAAATCCAGATAAATATCCAGTGTAATTCCGATCTATCAAAGCAACCAAATTGTACATTACACCGATCTACGCGGAGGTTTCGGACAATAGTAATAAAGTTATAATTGTATTTACTCTGCGAACAGAATTAGAATAGAGTAGACCTTCGCTAAACATTTTTTTTATTTTTTTGTAAAATTACTTGAACACAATCGCCCATTTGTTAGTTTTATTTATCCACTAACGATCAGGTTCCTTTTTTACTACATTTTTTTTAGCTATTCGACGTCGAGAGTTTATTGACGTTCCCATTATTGACTACAATCTCTTTAATTCAAAAAATCTATGTTTTATTTTAGACTAAAAAATCTAGATCATATTTTTCTAGCTAAAACGTTTATATGATTTGTAAACTTTTATTTAGGACGCTAGAATGAATGATTAACGCAACATGTTTCAGGTGAAAATGTATTGAACTATTTCCGATCTATGCCTACCGTATATATAAACGCGTTCGCTTCTACAGAACCCACAAAACCAGCCACGGCGACTACAATTCAATATTTACTAGACTAAATGCGACTGTGGGACCAGATATTATTTAATAAAAGTCACTTTTGAAACACTTCGAAGACATAATATCTAACAAGAATTTCGTTTGTATTATGCGGTAGACAGCGGCTTGGCTCTGACCAGGGGCGTTGCTGAGGTCCATGGGCGACAGTAAATACTCACCGTCAGGTGGTTATGCTCGTCTGCTTACAATGGCAATAAATAAAAATCTACGCCTAGTTTGGTTTTGTATTTTACGACAGCAAATTCCGTCCTACAATCAATTGCGCCGTTGTCGGGAATACCTCAATCTTACAGGATTCAATTTGAACGATACTTCAACTTCATGATAACGTCACTCACTAGACTTGCGTCACGCAGTGTGCAAGTTTCTCTATTTCGGTCTGAAGGGCTTGTCTTTTCTCGGATTCAAGTTTCAATTTCGCGTTCAGCTCCTCAATAGACGCCTTGAACATGCTGTTCTGTACTTCTATTAGTTTCTCGAGGTTCGATATCTGAAAAGAAAAAAAAACATGAACGCAATGCAAAACATGCTTGTTTAATTTACGAAAAAAAAAAACTGTAATCTGATTAAAATATTTCTATTTTTAACAGGTGATTTAATCTTCTCTTATTTTTCTCCACCTTATCCCACTAGGTGGGGCGGCACAGCTAATTTTTCTCTTCCATTCTTTTCTATCAGCCGTCATCTCAACACTCACTCCTCAGTGAGTGTTGAGAGAGAGGTATCTCTCATATCGTCATTCACACACTCCATCCATGTCTTTTTCGGAGGACCTCTTCCCCTCTACCTTGCACTACCATTTCCATACATCTCCTAGTCACATGCATCTACTCTCTACGCATCACATGTCCATACCACGCTAACCGTACGCTAATTTTTTAATTTGTTAATTACCGGGGCGGGGCTACTTTCACACTTCCTCTGATAACAGGTGATTTAATGAGGTAATTAATTAAAGACGCAAAAGTGGATACTTAATATGAGAATAAAATGAAATTATTGCACACAAATAAAAGAGGTACCACATTCCATTGCGACTATTGCTAAGCGTATGAAAAACATCTAAAACTACAAGCACGCCACCTAGCGTACGTGCAATGGGCTGTAATAAAACCTTCGATCGAGCGCAAAGGAATCGGATAACCACATTTGCAAATATTTATTTTTGTGTATTGGAATATATATATATAGATAGCTTTAATAAATTGAGCTATAAGTATTTGGCACTCAAACGTCACATACTTTTATAAACTGGTTTCAAAGGAGTACTTAACAATATGCCGTATAAGCCGAAGCGACATTACATGTTGGTACAGAACTACAGACCAATACATTTTAATATCATATCATCATTTTCTATCCATTTCACGTTGCTATTCCATTTATCAGTTCTCCTATCTCGTCTGTTATCACCTGTTAGGTAGGTACGTGTATTTGTTGTCGTTTGTTGTTTTACGAATAAATACATTCATCATATATTTGAGTATATTAGTAATTCACTCTATATACATAGGTATACAGTATTGTTTAACAGGTAACAAACCTTTTTTATAGGGATTTTATTACCTGGTAACTGAGACCTTTAGGTCAAGCTTATTTTAATTTATATTTTTATTTTATGAAAAATGATAATATACGTGAAATGAAATGAAATTGATTAAAATGAAACATGGCATGAAAAGAAATGAGATGATATGGTATGAAATATAATCTCAATAATCTCAGTAAAATGGTCGTCATTCACTAAGACCTTTTTGGAGGATGCCGAAAAGCTACGTTCAGCGTCTTTGTTTCATTTTCCCACATTTCTGCGCTTCCACAGATACTAAGCAATTAACAAACCACCGTTATTACAGATTTAAACCTGAAGAAACACTAAATAGACAAAATAAAACAATTTACACAAATTCACTCCTCGCGTTCCCGCAAAAAATTCGATAACAAAATATCCAGCTTCCAGCTTCACAGACTGAAAGCATATTGAAGGGGGAAGGGGCGCTGTTTGGCTTAAATGACCAGGAAACCTTCAACAAAAAAAAAACAAAAAAATTGGGCAATACTGACCCTGTAGTTGAGCTGCGCAATGAGCGCGTCGGTTCCATCTGCCGGGGGCGCCTTCTCCCCCCTGCTGGGCTGCGGCCTCCGCTCGAGAGTACTGGACGCGCTGGTCCTGTCACCTCCGACTGCGGCCACCGGCTTCTCGGGCGACCTCTCCTCGATCCGTTCCACTCTCTCGACCGTACTAGACTTCTCGAACACACTGGATGTCTTCGTAGAGTTCATTTCGATTTTATCTGTAGCGTGCTTGTCGTGTTTGGTGCTGGGTGCCTTGTCGGTGGGTGCGGCGGGCGGGGCGGGGGCGGGAGGTTTCTTCACGTCGTCAACCATTGATAAAAATGTTCGACCTGAAACGTTGTGTTGACATTACGTGGGATGCAATTTTTTTTTTATTGCTTATATGGATAGAGGAGCTCACAGCCCACCTGATGTTAAGTGGTTACTGGAGCCCATAGACATCTACAACGTAAATGCGCCACCCATCTTGAGATATAAGTTCTAAGATCTCAGTATAGTTACAACGGCTGCTCTACCCTTCAGACCGAAAGGTATTACTGCTTCACGGCAGAAATAGGCAGGGCATTGGTACCTACCCGCCGGACTCACAAGAAGTCCTATCACCAGTAATAGACCATATTTAAATTAAAAAGTAGCAATCTTGCCTACTACTGCCGCGAAGCAGTCAAACGTTTCATAATCATAGACACGCAGTCATATTGAGGTGTCTGGTGACCCATGGAGCGAAAATACCAATAACTTAAAGCAACAAAAATGATAAATCGGAACCAGTAGGTACATATAAATATATTAAAAGAGAAACAATATGCAAAATGAAAAATAAAATTAATAACAATAACTGTTTTTTTTTCTACCTATGCTGATAGCCTTGAGAGGTAATATCAGCGTTACCCTAGCGTGTAGGTAAGCTCACTGGGCTCAACCCTGACGAAGTTGCTAACACTGATCTTCGCAAAATCTACCACCGGATCGGAAACGCGACCCACTGAGAAGATCCGGCATATAACAATAAGAAAAATCAGTGTCGAGTATAATGTGAGACTGGTGGCGTCCTCTCGTATCGGGGTATAACAAACAATTAGGGTTGCCACGTTACTATAACAAGTGACCCCGTAATGCAGTAATGAGCAAATAAAATAAATTTGTTACAAGAGTGTTTTGACTAACCTGCGGCGGTGGGGGAATGCATGACCGGTTTAATGACAGGCACCGGATCAGGGGTACTCCTATCGGGCGTTTCCTTTTTAGAATCCAACGAGTGACGTACCTTTGTCTATGAACAAACAATACATTACGATAATACATTACAGCATTAGATTGAGACATTTAATCTTAAACAGTTTTACTTTACATCAGAGATTTCTTTAATATTATTTAATTAGCGACCCGCCCTCGCTTCGCTTCGGAAACTGTAATTCATTATTGATTTCTCCACTATTCAATGGATGTTATTATACATATAAACCTTCCTCTTCAATCACTCTATCTATTAAAAAAAACCGCATCAATATCCGTTGCGTAGTTTTAAAGATTTAAGCATACATAGGGACAGTTATAGGGACAGAGAAAGCGACTTTGTTTTATACTATGTAGTTATAACATTTTTTTAAAATATATAGTAATTACTATAATGGTTTTATCAAGCCATTTTCCTGTTGCGGTTGATCGTAATCCGAAAAATCTTTGTGCAGTCTGAAGTCTGAATAAATACGTCAAACATTCTAATAATGAAACCCTTATTCACGTAAATACATTTTGTTATAAAATGACTACGCAATCTAGAATTAAATAAAATTGTTTAAAATAAGTTTAGATAAAAAATAAATCCGTGTGCAATATCTGTGAACTCACCTCTTCGAAACTTTCTAGAACGCACATTCGACTGGTGATGGATGAGGTGCTCTTAGACATTTCCATAGAATGCGTTGATCTCTTCTCGTCCAAACCGCATTCCAGGATTCTGAAAGGAGTATTATTTTAATCAACTTATTGTCGAAACTTTTGAACGATGATTTTTTTAGTCTTTTCAATTATGGAGTATGAAAAAATATCGAAAACCAACCGCCGTACTTTGTCAAAAATGCGATTAGATTAATCTATTTTTATGCATAGCGCAATTACCGTTTAAAAGTTAGAAGTTAAGGGTATTATTCAGCAAGATATGGATTTATAAATAAAGAATTGATCTTAATAGTGTGTTCGGATAAAAATAAAATAAACAATCTAATTTGTGTTTTCTTGTTTAGTTTTATAGTAGCATGATTTACCGGATTTTTATTTTTATTTTAAAATTACTTATTCTGTCAGAATCATATAAAACCCCCTCGCTTATATTCATAGCTGTATTTTCTCAAATTATTATTTCTGCACAGTTTCATAGCATGAAAAATATACAATAATATGGAGAAAGTTTGAAGAAATGCCTAAGGAATGAAACTGCAAGCCAGGTCGAAAGAGAAGATGGCGGACAACCTAAAAATAAGCTGTTATTTTATTATTTTTTATGTATTTATTTATTATTTTTTGTGTACTGGTGGTCCCCCGATAGTCGAAATTCGACTATAATTAATTGAAATTATAAGTTTGTACACTATTAATATATGATTCTATGGTTAAAGACTAATTATTATACTTCTATAATCACAGATTTCACTAAGACTATATTTTAGACAAATATTAATAAAGACAAACAATATTTAATATCTATTCTCAATTTGATCACAGACTATAAGCAATAACAAAAGTTAGACAATAAACAAATAGTATGCATGCGTGTGTGTATCAAATACATGATGGTGTGTGTATGTTTTTATTATTATTTATTTAATGTATTTTTATGCATAATTAAAAAAAAATTACATTCTGCACTCCTTCTCTATAATCTCTATAAGTTTGGGAAATTTCATACCCCTCCGTCCGCGCAATTTTCGTACAAAGTTTTTGCTTCACGTATAAATATATTTTTTTTATTGCTTAGATGGGTGGACGAGCTCACAGCCCACCTGGTGTTAAGTGGTTACTGGAGCCCATAGACATTTACAACGTAAATGCGCCACCCACCTTGTGATATAAGTTCTAAGATCTCAGTATAGTTACAACGGCTGCCCTACCCTTCAAACCGTAACGCATTACTGCTTCACGGCAGAAATAGGCAGAGCGGTGGTACCTATCCGCGCGGACTCACAAGAGATCCAGTAAAAGTTTTTTTTTTTAACGTATTTCCTGTGTATTATTCAAACGTAGAACACCGCTTGTGTTAGTTTGCGGGCGGTGACCGACCTGTCGGTGCTCCCGCCGCCCGCCCTGCTGGCCAGCGCGCTGCTCTCTGCCGAGCTGGAGACGGACCGCGCCTTGCCGTCCGCAGCGAAGCTGGTCTTCTTCGCCTGGTTCAACTTCAACTCCTCCATCCAGGGAGCCTTGTGCTTCTCCCACTCGCGGGCGCGCGGTTTTATCTCTTCCGCTTTCTCCGGCGGGGGCTTTTCGCTCGCCGGTACTGTAAAAAATTATTTTTGATTGTTGTAAATCAATTTGAATTTTTCTATTTTGCAATGACTAGAATTTTTTTTTTAATTCGTCCCAATCCATGTAGTGATTTTAACACGAACACAAAAATAATTGTTTAAAGGCATAGTTCTTACTCAATATCAATTCATTATTCGAGACATGTACGACTCCGGACAACACGAGTTATTACTAATAATTCCTATTTTTATATATATTAATCGACGAGTAGGTACCGTAGTATTTTCCCTTTTTTTTTGTTTCCCCGAAAAATAGTGCCGCTACTCATTTTAAAAAGTGCGATGACCGTTATACGATACAAATTACTAGACGTCATGCCTCAAGGTGGGTAGCTTAAAATGACAATCATAGAACGTCTATGGACTCCAATATAATTGTTCCTTAAAAATATATTTACAAAGAAGCATCAGTCTTATAATTCTTTAGGGATGGGTATTCGATAAATTTAGTACATCTCTAGAGAAATTTCATATCTTGAGAGACTTGACTTTGACTGAGGTCAAACGATTTGTTTTATAACTTCGTACAGTTAAGAGGTATTTCCCTTATTACACAACATTTATCTGTGTAATTAAAGGTCCATTTTATTTGGTATTACCATCAACAATTCGATGCTTTTAATTGAACTACAATTAAGAGTACCCCATTCAAATAGGTGAAGAAGTTTTTTTGTTCTTATAATTTTTCTAAATTTTAAACTTAAAATGGCTCTTCTGTGAAGTGGCTAAAATATCGCTTAAATCAAATACCCTTTCCTTTATTGATATGTATATATACAGTATCATCGTACCTTCGTGTCCGTTGCTAAGTCCTATTTGCTGCGGCGTGTCGTCGCGTAGGACCTGACTAGGTGGCCGTCGTCTTGGTGCTTTGACTCTAAATTTCGATAAACGAAAGGTTTAATTATGTGATACATTAAAATTAAACACGAAAACATCTCACAAAACAAATTATATAAAAATTATTAATCGAGTATCATTTGAAATATTATCGATTTTAAGTGTACTACACTAATTTTATTTGAGTTTAGATAATTTAATTAACACAATTTCAATTATGTCTTCAAGATTAATTTGATCAGAGCATTAACATTATTTCTGCTATCTTGTAAGAAAAATATAAAGAAATTGATCTAATCAAATATGTCAAAGATTTTTTATGTATTAGTGCTTATAACCTAAATGGCTAATTAACGATTTTAAGAATAGAAATTAGTAGAAAGTAGTAGTAGTAGTAGAGATAAAATGAAAATAATAATAATAATAATTTACCTGCCCGCTCTAGGATCGTTGAGTATGGAGTTACGTTCGATATTGTCGAACGTACTATTGTTGGGTGCGTTGATGTTGGGCGTGTTGGTGTTGGGCGTGTTGGTGTTGGTCGTGTTGGCGTTGGTCGTGGTTGCTGCGTTGGCGTTGGGTGTTGGCTTGCTGGACGTAGCGCCGTCCGGTCGGTCCGAATCCACAACAACAGGCGTCGATTTTTCTCTGAAGATATTTAGTTTTTTTATTATTATTCAGCAAAAGAAGTACAGCGTTAGAAAGGCATTTTTCATTGTATTGAGTTTGAATGTATTATCAGCAAAAAAGGTACAGCGTTGGAACGGCACATCTCATTGCATTGAGTTTGAAAGTATTATCAATAGGCCTACAAACACGAGCCAACAGTACGTACTTAGTCAATGATGTCACTACAATTTGGGCGAAGATGTCCATATGTTCATAGTCACTGACAGTTTTTGCGAAGCTCATGCGAGCGACGTTTGGGGAAAAGTATCGCTCAGAGATACGATACAATAAATCCCTGACGACGGATACAATTAGGAGACAAAAATGCTTTGGGTCTAAACCCTAAAAACTAAAAAAACAATCTAATCTAATCTCTTCCAAATATCGACATCCTCCGAATTTTGTTATTTATTATGGCACCGTAAATTAGCTCTTATGAATATAGGCGAGAAATTCTAAATTTCACAATCAGGAACACTAACTTGTCAGAAGATGATAGCATTTTATTCTTCAGTCCGCTGAGCAAGCCTCCGACCCCGGATACGGGCGTCGGACTTTTCTTTAACGGCACCGGCGGTTTCTTTACCTGTAAACATAGCAACATTTACCAAAGTAAAAAAAATACTATATAGAAAAACAAAACCTAGCAAGCTTCAACTATAGATTAACTGTTACCTGAACAACAATAACAAAACTCATAAAGAGCTTCACATAAATGTCGCGGCCTAACTCGTCGTGGCCTAAAGGATACGACGCCCGGTGCATTCGTATCCAGCGATGCGAATATGCCGGTGTTCGAATCACGCTGGCAGGTACAAATTTTTATAATGAAATACGTATTTAACAAACGTTATCGATTGGCTTCCACGGTGAAGGAATTGTAGTAAAAAAACAAGTCCGCAAAAATTTTAATTTGCTTAATTACTCGTGGGAGGGCGAGTTTGTGAGTTCGCACGGGTAGGTACTAGCAGCCGTTGTACTGTAAAAAGTGAGACCTTAGAACTTATGTCTCAAGATGGGTGGCAGTATTTACGTTTTTGATGATTGACATCAGATAGGGCGTGAACTCGTCCACCCATCTAAGCAAATAAAGAAGTATCAGTTTTAATAGCTTATCGATAACGATTAATCTAGCCTTCAAAACAAGTGATCGTTAAGTCAGCAGAAATAGGCAGGAACCACCTTTTTTTTTCTTACCTAATCTGGTAGCTTTGAGAGGCTATGCCAGCGTAACCGATCACGTAGGTGAACTCACGGGGCTCAAACCAGAGGACGTTGCTAACATTAGCCCTAGTAAGAGCAGTGCTTCCCAGAATCTACCAGCGGAAACGCGAACCACTGAGAAGATCCGGCGAGAAACAGGCAGGAACCATCAATGCGTGACGTCATACAACGTGTTTGAATCCATTTTTGTTATTCAACAACTACCCCCAACCGCGAAATTTATATCTTTTCTAACATTTGGGAAGGTATTTAGATTTTTTTTTATTAAAATTTTCGTGAAATAATTCAGCAACATAAAATCTCATTACATAGTCATAAAATTACGTAACTATCTAAACGTAGGCGGAGGCGTAGTTGCGATTCAAATTTGACTCTCCAATGACATTCACTTCATATCCTTGAATTAAAAAGGGTACACAAGCGACGTTTTAATGTGTATATATATTTTTTTTTCGCTAAATATACGGAGACAATACGACACACGGAGATACTTTGAAATATTCGCATTTTTTTTTTTTTTTTCCTTCCTAAGCTGAGAGCCTTGAGGGGCTATGTCAGCGTAACCCTAACTTTTGTAGGTGAGCTCACGGGGCTCAAACCTGATGACGTTGCTAACACGAACCCTAGCAAGAGCCGTGCTTCGCAGAATCTACCACCGGATCGGAAACGCGACCCACTGAGAAGATCCGGCGAGAAACTCAGTGGGCTGTGTCTGGGAGTTAATTTACTCGTCGAGCCCTTCGTCGCAAGCGACGGGTTCGACGAGAACGGTGACCGGTGCTTGAAGTACCTAGAAGCACCGTTAGTGGATCGGGAGGAGGTTTTCGCATAAAAATCCGGGTTCTATTTATTTTATTATACCACTAACTAATATTCCAACAATGCCGTTATAAAACTTGACTGTCTCGATGGTACAGTAGTTAGCGGCCCTGACTGTCGCGTCTAGGGTCGTGGGTTCGATTCCCACATCGAGCAAACGTTCGAGTGATGAACAAGTTTTTTTGCTCTTTATCTGGGCGTTTATTATCTATATATGTATATATTCAAGCATATATGAGTATGTTTAGTATCCATAACACATAGAATCCTAATAACACGCAATCTAACACACGTTTCACGCAACAATGGATTAACGTGACATTATATTTTAAATCCGGCGAAATAATACGCATTTCATTAATTTGGAAACAACTTCAATTTTGACCAAGCTGAAATCGATCGGAGATCGCGCCTTATGCAATTATCAATTTACAAATAATGAAATTAGACATTTCACTTGCAGCTATATTGCAAATATATCGCTTACTACACACATCACTGTTTGAAAATAATGAAATAAGACTCTGCAATGTGATTGCATCATAAATATTGTATTTACATTACACAGGATCGCGACCTACTAGATTTCTAAGTTTGATCACCGCGACTTCACATACAGGTTCTATTTAGCCCACAGACGACCACTGCTGGACATAGACCTCTCCCAAGCCTCGCCACAACGATTGATCCTGCACTGCTTGCATCCAACGGATTCCCCTCCCTCCCAGGGAAATAGGCCTCCCACAAGATGGAACGCCGCACGACCTATTGAGATTCACAAAGCACTGCTACGAATAAACAGAAGGATGCTCTAGAACATTAAAGACTTAGCACATCCATGTGCCTTGAGCCCGGGTGGCGGAGAAAGGTATCATCCTTAAAAATAGTTCAGACCTTGGAACTCATATCTCAAGGTGGGTGGCGGAATTTACTTTGTAGATGTCTATGGGCTCCGGTAACCACTTAACACCAGGTGGGTTGTGAACACGTCCACTGATCTATGCAATAAAAAAAAAGTTTAAAACTAATTTAATTACCTGGCCGTCGATACTTCCGTCTGTAGCTGCTTCGTTGTGAATAAATTTCTCAGTTTCATTCTTACTTGTGTGCGTGACTGTACTATGTGTGCTAGTCTCTTTGCTGAGAGGGTTGTCTTTGTGCATACTGAAATTAAGAAATAAAAATTTTAAGTCCGTACGTACGTACACTGCCTGCAGTTTTCCCACTTTGGGAGTTTTAACGACAATGGGACTGTTTTCCACCGAGAGGGTAAAATTTCTTGAGTACGTGCAAGCGTGCTAGCTTCAGCTTCAGGCGTCTGTTTAATAACTTTGTGTTCCATGATAGCTACCATAATACCACGTTCTGTTTTTTCTGTGATAAAATATTTCAATGAACTATTCAAGTTTATATACCCTTTCGCTGTCTCTACTTGTGCATTATACGAGATAACAATTCGCAGGAATTGTTAACTGAACCTCTTTATATCTGAATAGTAATGTTTATCTCGAAACACAAGGAAGCTCGATTAGTTGATGAAATAAGCGCTCCATTATTAAAACTCGTGTGTACTATTTATTGCTTTGACATTCATATTTGTATTTTTATTAACCTATATATTATTGACAAGTGAAAGCAAAAAAGCCAACCTCAGTATAAAAAAAATGATACCATCCTAACATACAAAAACATATTTTTTTTATATAAATATGTATGAACAGATCAGCTGATTACGAACGTAATGACGCCCGCGCTCATTTTGTATTCATTATTACAAAAAAAATAACTGTTTCTCTAACACATTATGTTGATTAATTTCGTAATACTTATTTGTATACATATAACTTCATTACCATTCAAACGTTCGAAAGAATCACGCTTAAATCGAAAAACGAGATACGGAAAAAGCACACTTTCCTCACCTTATCTTAGACGTAGTCAACTCCTTGACCGAGGCGGTTTTTTCTGTGTATTTATTGAGTATGGGATAAATCGAGTTGGTCGCGGCTTTTGATGGACGTTCGGGTTTCTTCTCTTCAACTTCTGCTGTGGCTGCGAAACACAAAAAAAAATCCAATGCACGATCTCAAAAAAAAAAAAATCAAAATCAAAAGTCATCCAAATGGCTTCGATGGCGCGAAAATGATACTTTTTTTTTTTTTAAACAGCTATAAATTTTTACAACTGACTTTCTACGCCCATTTCGATTGAAACACGGAACGAACGAGGAAACGAACTCGGCTCAGACGCGTTACGAACGACTCTGAGGCAACAAGCTATAAAAAGAAACGCGACAGAACCTCTGAGGCTGTACGTTACGCAAAATCACGACTTTGCTCGAGACTTGCAACCTTCATGAGAAATGTCAATAGCAAAACATCGATACCTTTGATAACTATTGACAGTACGGCATGTTTATGAATGTAGGTATTTTTATTGCTCTGGTCGGTAAAGAAGGTTTTAAGTAATTACCGGACTCCGTAGGCACATAGATGACAACGTAAAGCACTCACCTGAGACATAACGCGGAAGTCTCAATTATGTTTTAAAATTTTACATGTGTGAAAAAATAAAACTATATCGTCTTTATTTTAACTAAATCAATGACCATAAATTTTGTTTTTTCATTTGATGTGGGTCATATCAAAGCTACTTGCTGTCAGTCAATCTTAGAATTTTATTCAATAGTATATTTGAAAAATCGTCTAGTGAATAGGAATTTAAATTTAGTCTTCGATTAATTTCTAATAAACAACCGAATAATCGTAAAAAATAAATATATAATTCATTATATTTTAAACATAAAGAGAAAATTGATGCAATAAGTATTAGAACTTTTTTTTTTAATATTGAGTAATTTTAAGACGAACGCCAAATCCTTCTGATACTCAGCGTTTACCGAAAACCACAGACTATCGGCCTAAAAACAATCTCTCCGGCAAACATTGATAAAAAACAAGAGTTTATGAAAGCGGCATTTTTTGCAATGTCCAATCAATCATACTTTGTTACGATAAGAAACAGATCGAATTCAGTGTTTGGAAATTCTAAAAACAACTAATAAGCGTCTAATAAACTTAGATAACTCTTTATCGTAAATTAATATATTACACATTGCACCAAATAATAACGTTAATGTTGCCTTACTGTTTACCTCTATACTCAACTCCAACGGGCAGATAGTTTACTAACATGCTCGACAAATATGACTACCGAGTCGAACATGCGATCTTTAAATAAATAGCATAAATAGCTTAGAGTCATTGTTTTGGCGCGAAACTTGAATTACGAATATAAGAATGAGTCTGTACACATAATACACATTCAAGGTTCTTTAAATTGTTCAATACATTACACTGTAGCATGTACGTACGTACATACGTGACATTATTTCACTTTTAAAACTAAGTTTTATTTTACGATTATTTAGATAATTCGCTTCGAAATTGGTTACTGATAATGAAAATTACAAAATTTATGGCATCTAATGTTTCCAAACATAACAAAACTTCGAAATAATTAATATTATTGCCGAGGTATAACATAGGTACTTCTTTTTATTTTTTTGATGTGTTTTTAGCGCAAATTACAATTTCTTTTAGTAATAATTAATATTTATAATAATATAATCCTGATTATTTATAATAGTTAGATGATTTATACACAATTGACAATCCTAATCTGAAATTATCGTATCTTAAATTACTAACATTTTTTTTTTTAGGACAGCACATATTATATGGTAAAAGCCGATCTATAAGAGCTCTTTATATTTGTAATATTTAAAACACTAATCTAACGTTAACCGATAAAGATGATCACATTTATTTTTCTATTGTACATTGGAAACATTGATTTTTGTTTGGATAAAAATAATTTTGTCGTAACATCGGTCTCGTTATAATCTTTGCTTTGTTTGCTATTGAGTAGTATTAAACACAGAGCCACTTATAAAAATACAAAGGTTTTTAGTATTATAGACGGTAAGCAGCGACTTTACGGTACGTAGTGGCTTGGCTCTGTCCCTGGCATTGTTAAAGTCCAAGGGCAACGGTAACCACTCACCTTCAGGTGGGCCGTATGCTCCTCTACCTACAAGGGCAATAAAAAATACCTATTCATATTCACCGTACTAATAAAAATCAAATTTAAATACTGTACGCATTCTGCGGTTTCAGCTAATATAAAAAAAAAAAACGCCTTTTTATTGAAATCCACACATACAAGAACATTGAATTATACCAAAAAGAAACACATAGTACTTTCGATTTGTTGAAAAAATACGCAACAAACTACCTCGATTCGTATTATGAATAATCGTAAAGCAATTAGTTTTACGTACAAATGAAGCCGTCTAAGTGAGCACTTAATTATCGTTAAGGATCATGAGCGATGACGCACCATCATTAACATCAAGCAACGTAATATTGTGGGAATCATATAGAACACATTAATTAGAATGCCAGCGGCCATTATTTTTATGTTTTGTTATATACATACTTTTACATCAACTATATGTGAGATTCTTAGAAATCACCTCTAAACATCTCTTCGTAGCGTCATTAGCTTCTTTGTGGCCTATATTACAAAGTTTTAACAAAAATAAAATCGACTTCAACAATACAAAATGAGAATATCATCAATATAGTCCAAATCAATTAAATATGCATTATTAAGAATAACTCCAAAACTACTGGTCAGATCTTGATAAATGGGATGACATGAGAATTTAACCTGATTTCAAATTAAAAAAAAACCATTAAAAATAGGCTAATCGTGGAAAGTTCTACAGGTAACACACGCGTAAAAAAATACAGTAGAACTGAGCACATCCTCCTTTTTTGAAGTTGGTTAAAAAGTAAATTTCACGCTCATATACCTATAATATTAGCTAATAATTAAGTATGTATTGCACATAAGTTCATTTTAAATTCTTTTTATCTCAGTGATACTCCAATTTCCCTGAAATGTAGTAATAAAAAGTTTACCAACGTCAAGCTGATTTCGTGTAAACATATCTGTGTGTTACATCTCTAATGGAAACGAAAATTTATACCTTGAATATCGAATAAAACCTATATACAGAATAATGAAATGTAGATATAGTCTACTCACCGGCAGGCAACAACTGTACAAAGTTATCGGGGAAGAGCCCGACGCGACCGTGCAGTTCTCCCCGCCACCAGCCTCGATCGGGGGCTTCCTTCGATATAACAGTAACGATGTCGCCTTCGTTGAGGTTCAGCTCATCGTCGTTCACGGCAGCATAAGTGAACAGCACCCGACATTGCTCCTTTACTGAATTGAAAAAAAAAAAAAACACTCAATATTGTCGCGAGTTTTGAACTAATCACGTACCATCTTGAAGTCGTCGTGGCCTAACGGATAAGACGTCCGGTGCATTCGTGTTGAGCGATGCACCGGTGTTCGAATCTCAGGCGGGTACCAATTTTTATAATGCAATACGTACTCAACAAATGTTCACGATTGACTTCCACGGTGAAGGAATAACATCGTGTAATAAAAATGAAACCCGCAAAATTATAATTTGCCAAATTACTGGTGGTACGACCTATGGTGAGTCCGCGCGGGTGGGTACCACCGCCCTGCCTATTTCTGCCCTGAAGCAGTAATGCGTTTTGATTTGGAGGGTGGGGCAGCCGTTATAACTATACTTTAATACTGTATAAACTATTATATGTATGTATGTGTGTAGATATGTATGTATGTATGGATATGTATGTATATATATGTATTAGGTATATGTGATTTTGTATATATGTAGATATATTTTTTTTTGTATGTATTCGTAACCTAATATAAATTTCATTGCACCTACCACTATTTACTCTGCACTACCTTTGGTTGACTGGTAGAGAATGCCTTAGGCATTAAGTCCGCCAATGTAAATTTTACATGAAGTGTAATAAGTAAATAAATAAAATATACTTGAGATCTTAGAATTTATATCTCAAGGTGGGTGCCTTATTTACGTTGTGGATGTCTATGGGCTTCAGTAACTACTTAACACCAGGAGGGCTGTGAGCTCGTCCACCCATGTAAGCAATAAAAAATAAAAACCAATGTTCTGATTTCGTGTGAGTACTCCAACGCGACTCGAACGTTATCGCTCATTTATTGATATAGGTAATGATGGTCATCGTTTCTCATCATGCTATCAGAAACACATTACGTTTTAACCGTTACTCAATTAGAGCACTTAATACCAAGGTCGTAAGGATCGACAATACAATCGCTTGATTCAATCGAGAAGTCCGTGACAGCGCATTTCGCTTCATTATTGTGCAACATTGCAACGCCCCGCGGCGAATAAACATCCATAAGTTTTTAACATCCATAAGTTTTGACCGTCTCGGTGGTGCACGCGTCGTGGGTTCGATTCCCAAATCGGGCAAACATTGCGTGATTAACAGGTTTGTTTGCTATTTGTCTGGGTGTTTATTAACTAGTTACCTATGTATATATTTAAACGTATATAAATATGTTTGTCAATCTCTGATACCCATAACACAGAGAATCCTAAATTGGAGCCGGATGATTTTTGATGCGTGAGTTTTTGTCTCCGTTATGATTATTATTATTACGATCGGTCGTGAGTAAACATAAACGTCTTTGCCTTCTTTTGATTGTAGCCAGAGTTCATTCGCGCGACTCCCAAGAAAATTCATTGGCATAATTACGAGATAACTTTGTTAATACGCAATTATTATATAGATTTGATTACATTTAGCGGTAGGCAGCGGCTTGGGTCTGCCCCTGGCATTGCAAAGTCTATGGGCGACGGTAACCACTCACCATCCGTATGGCCGTATGGTCGTCTACCCAGAAGAGCAATAAAAAAAGAATTAAAAAAAAAACAATTAAGTGTGTCGCGCGGTACTTTGAAGGAATAAAAGCCTGTTGTTTTGTGTGACCCAAGTTCAAGAACAAATCAAAAAATCCAGATCGCGTTCCTGGAATATTGAATTGTAAATACAGTCCCTTATATCAGATAAAACAAGCAATGAATTAGCATAACATAGTTACATAATTCGGAATCAAGCATCGAGATTATATTAAAGAATCAAGTTATTTACAATGACTATAACAAGAGCCTGGCAGGATATTTGTCTAGGAGGGCTCAGCAAAGGAAAACATAAAAAGAAAGCTACAAAGAATCCTAAGCTCTATCTATATCATTTCCAGTAAAATTTCCATTCATCCAACATATTTACAAAAGAATACCATAACATTATTCACTCCGAATTTTTTTTTCTCCGAAACGGCGGGGTCGCTCTACGTACTGAGACGTTGATTATGAAAGTGTCTCGGCGGGAACAGAAAACTAGACACGACGAGGGGGGTGTGATGACGCGACTTCCTCCAATTACGTCTCGGCATCACGAACATGTCGCTTAAACCACCAAGCCCTCGATATGCACCTAAATATTTTTTTCTATCACAGTTTGTGATACACACTATAGAACTGAGACTTAGAATTCGTGTCTCAAAGTAGATGGCAGTGTTTACATTACTGATGAACTCCGGTAACCATTTAACACCAGGTGGGATATTAGCTAGTCCATCTACTTAAGCAAACATTGAAAAATAATTTAAATATTAGTAGGTGGGTGGCGCATTTACGTCGTAGATGTTTATGGGTTCCAGTAACCACTTAACAATAGGTGGGCTGTGAGCTCGTCCAACCAACAAAGATTATTTTTTTTTTTTTTAATATATACGATAGTTATTTTATATAATGTTCACCAAATTGCTCATGCGCATTGTTAATAGTGAAAACTATTATGTGATTTTTTTGTTATAAGTACCTATAATCTATATTGTGTGAACGTATTGTATTGTTTGTTTACTAAACAAATAAAAGTAAAGGATAAAGAGGCCCAGAGCTTTCTGATTGATTCAATTAATTTGTGAGTTAGCTCGCTTCATGCGCTCAATGAGAGGAGATTGAATTAAATCAAGAACATGAGTGATTCAACGTTAACAATTCAATTTTATTATTGCACTTCATTGAACGCGACTCTTTTTTATACAATGTGTATAGTATATATACCTATGTACCTTCTACCGTTGTTTCAAAATAATTATTTAACACTAAACCTACCACTACCGGTCAAATTCACTTTTGCAACTTTTGTTATATTTATATATACTAGAGGTCCCGCAGTAGTCGAAATTCGACTATAATTAATTGGAATTGTAAGTTTATACACTATTATGATTGTATTTTATACTTCTATAATCACAAATTTCGCCAAGACTACACTATAAAAAATATTTACAAAGGCAATATTTAATCTATTCTCAATTTGACAACAGACGCCAAAAACCATAGACCTATATAGTAGGGACACGACATATTGTTCTATACGTACAATTGCTTATATAAATAGCACCCATTTTGAAGGCACATACATAAACATATATCTATCTCGTTCTTACTCAGCACTTTAACTCGCAGGAAAACAATATAACAGTATTTCAGTGCGTACATAAAATGAAACATGAATATACGTAAATATCTCCGTCTCCGTCTAATGAGGCCGAAAATCCGCCATGTTTAGCGCGTCAAATGTCATTGTCACGTCAGTTCGGCCGTCTGTTTTGGGTTGTACATTATTTATTGACTTTGATATCGATTTAATATGATTGATTATATAAAATTTCATAATTTATCATGCTTAAAACATACAAAAATAATAATTAAAACATATTTTATAGGATCTCAAGAAAGTCGATGCCCCAAAACTATTATCTATATAATAATATATTTAAATTCATTATGGAGCCCTCATCCGAAAAATCGGACACCATTTTTCGGTCGGAATCTATTGATCATGACACTAATCATAAATATCTCTTTAAAATATGTCATCAAAACATATTTAGACATTCTGTTTAGATATTTCATGAAAAAGGCTACCGACAAAATCTCTTCGGAACAATTTAAATAAAATAGTTTTATTCCGCAGTGAGTAAAACACTATTGTAAAGGAGAAACCCCATTCTGGGCCTAAGCGTTACACGAATGGGATGTGTACCAAAAAATTCGTCTATTTTGCTTGATTAACCTATTGAAATCTTAGCTTCATTGACAATGGCCAAGTGTAGAAAATAAGTTGAATTTTATTTTTTGTTTTAAGCAATCTTTGTAAACATCAGCAACACTTATTTCAATATACGTAACTAGCTCCACAAACGTGCGCATTAGAATTAGNCATTAAAGTATAAATTCTACAAATAAATAATACTCAACAATATTTAAAATAAAATGAGCCAAGAACGTTTATCGATAAAACCTGATAACATTGAAATCTTTTGTACAGCACTAAAGCCGCCATGTTTTGTGGCCAGATGACGTCACAGTGGCACGAAATTTTGGTTGACGTTTCATTTCCATAGGTTTCCTACTTCATTGCCAAAAACAAAAGTTTGACAATAAATAGTATGCATGTGTGTGTGCGTCAAATACACGGTCTATAGTGTGTGTAATGTTTTCTTTATTGATTTAATGTATCTTTTATGCATTATTTTAAAAAAATATTAGCATTGTGCACTTCTTCTCTATATTCTCTGTAAGTGTGGAAAATTTCATACTCCTCCGTCCGCGCAATTTTCGTAAAAAGGGATACAAAGTTTTTGCATCACGTATTCATATATAGATTTAAATGCTGAAATACCGTTATCAAAATATAAGAGAATTCTAAGAGCATACATATAAAACTTTACTACAAATTATTATTTTTTCTTTTACATATAAACACAATCATGAAAATACATTAAATAATAAAATCGATAACATTTTTAATAACCAGTCAATTTAACGAAGCGCGATAGAATACAATAACTGTCGGTAAGTTAAGTGTTAAAGCTTCAATAATATCTCACACGTATTTAATTAATACATTAATAATGCTGAATTATACCGACTTACTGTTTCATTCAAAACATCATATTCAAAACATATTCAAATTAATATTTAATTTAAACACCAAAAACAATTGATATCTCAAAAGCACTGTACTCCGAGACGCCGTAACCATAAATAATCATAGATTAAAAACAATTTTCAAGTATTGAACGCTGTTCCGAATGTTCCGAAAGTGAAATGTAAGGTCATTGTCATGAGCGACACATGTACAGACGGGAAGAGCGCTTACGTTACTGTTCTTACGTACTAGTTTCGCGTGATTTACACCATTGTATGGCCCTCAATACGTTATGTGCATCGTTTAAACCGGTGTCGGACACCTTACGTCATTTTTATTTATGTGTATTTGATCAGCAAATGGAATGCTCCTTAGATATACTACGCAATAAGACGTACGATGAAAGAGTAGATTCAGAAATATGATTGCGTCAACTTACCTGGCTTCGGTGGGAGCGCTGGAGCGAGTTCGAAGGGTGCCGGCTGCGGTGGGTCGAGCATCACAACAAAGTTAGATGGAAACACACCCACGCGACCCTGGCGTCGACCTTGCCACCAGCCCTCCTCTACCTGAATGAAAGACACACAGTCATGCGAACAGCCATATTGAACAACATGGTACTCATAGGCAGCGGCTTGGCTTCATCCCTGGCATTCACCACTCATAATCCGCTGGTACGTAAGCTCACCATTTGAATGTACAGGTGAACGAGCTCATGGTCCACCTAATGTTATGTGGTCACCGAAGCCCATAGACATTACTCTGCAAATGCCACCAATCACCTTGATACACAATGTCTAAGCCTCAATTGTAAGGCCTACCTTCGAAACCGGAATACAATACTATTTCGCGGCGGAAAAAGCAGGGTGACCGTAGCATACCCTGCGGACTCACAGGACGCCCTTCCAGTATCACTTTTTTACAGTTACCTTTCGAAAGCAAAAATCTTGAGCTCTCAACGTAGATGATAATGATAAAAATTAAATCGGAAATGATTTGAAAAATACTTTTTAACAACTGAATTAATTCAGTCGGTAATCCCGTATAGTTTCTTATCTAAAATTGTATATAGTCCATACCTCTCCTAAAACTTCAAGCACGTCGCCGACGCAGAGTTCCAATTCATCCGGATTGACTGGTTGATAGCTGTACAGAGCCCGACACCGCCCTTGCACGCCCGTTGATCTAACAAGAAAAAATGGACCACTTCGATTACGTACCAAAGATATATTGCCACCACCAAAAATATTTAGTTACGTTTTGTTATTTTTGTTGCTTAGGTGGGTGGAAGAGCTCATGACCCACCTGGTGTTAAGTGATTATCGGAGCCCATATACATCTATAACGCAAATGGCGCCACCTACATTGAGATATGAGTTATTAGGTCTCAGTTTTTACAGTACAACGGTTGGCCCACCCTTCAAAAATGATTTATGTTACATCGAAAAATTCAAGTACCTTATCATCATCGGATAGTTAATTATGCGTTGAAATTCTTAAGGAAGTTGAACATCGACAAATATCTAAAAAGTTGCCTTTTGTAAGAGACACTTTTAGAAAACCCGATGATGCGGGTCAACTTTAACACACTGGCTTTTATGTCGTTTTCATTTCTTACTCACACATCGACTAAACTAACTATATAATAAATGCATTATCATTCATTCGTTCCTGCGCAGATCTAAGTTTAAACAGTAGTATTCAAATAACAATTCAAACTCCTTGTCGCGGAACGATTAAGTGGCACACAAGATCTGCTGGGTCTTAAAGAAAATGTTAAGTAAATGTTTAAAATAAAAAGTTTAAATCGTAATTTGGTTAATCGGGTCAATATTTGCGACATAAAGCGACGCTGGCCCAGTTAAGATAAAACAATGCTCACATCGAATGTATTTGGAAGACAAAGTCTTTAGGAATGGATATTTGGGCCGTCAAACCGATTACTGATGGCACACTTGTTTGCCGTGCAGGCTACTCCGCCTGAGCGAAAGAAAACCTGACAGTTTTTTTTTTATTGTTTAGATGGGTGGACGAGCTCACAGCCCACCTGGTATTAAGTGGTTACTGGAGCCCATAGACATCTACAACGTAAATGCGCCACCCACCTTGAGATATAAGTTCTAAGGTCTCAGTATAGTTACAACGGCTGCCCCACCCTTCAAACCGAAACGCATTATAGCTTCACGGCAGAAATAGGTGGGGCGGTGGTACCTACCCGTGCGGACTCACAAGAGGTCCTAACACCAGTAATTACGCAAATTATAATTTTGCGGGTTTGATTTTTATTACAGGTAAAGGTATGTAAAGTTCAAGAAAAATCACGTCATGAAACCAATGAGTTTGAAAATTCACTTGGCTTTAATAAGACTTTAGGATGCACATTAGCTACTTATCTTCTTGATTCGAGATGACGATAGCGAAAGTCACAAGAAATTAATGTTTCGATTTAATTTATAGAAATTTAATGAATTACAAATGTGAGTAAATTGAATCGCTTCAGTGCGTCATAATGGTCGTTACTTTTGCGCGATTGTGTTCTTGTTAACTGTAAATGACACAATTTTTTTTTAATCGGAAACTATGACATTTCGCTTCAGATAACATCTGCGCATTTTAACTTTTAAAGTGTCAATTGAATTTTTATTAGAATACATAAATATATGTAGTTTCCTCCTGTAATTTAAATGTAAATGTAATGCAATATAATAAAAATGTAAATGAGCCATGAGAATGTGATTTCTTAATTGCTTTAGTGTAACAACTATCCATCCTAAAATTGATAAAATTCTTTCAAATAAAAATATGAAAGACGATGTATCTACCCATTTGGGCTTTGAATGGGGCGTATTGTGACTATCTAGTTATACCAATAAGATCAATAATTCCACCAATAATTCACCAATAATTCATATCCTTTTTTTCTAATATGCCTGTCGTTTCTCGTTTTATAGTAATTTCAAAAAAAAAACTATTATTAATTATTTTTACAAAATATTTTTAATTGTTTTGTTCCATAATTAATTATAAATATTTTTATAACGCACATATTTATGTACTGAACTGACTAACTCCAGATAAGACGATAGCTCATATTAACATGTAGGTACATTATTTTTATTTATTAACTTTACAACTTACTGGAGCATTTCATTTCAGAATTATTAATTATTATTGTTTAACATAAGCCCCAAAATTTTGGAGAGATAATGATATGTGCAAATACTAATTTAATATATCACTATCAATATAATCAAACAATTAAAGCAATCTACTCAGTTATTGAATCAAAAATTAAATGTTCGTTCACATTTACAATTAAAAATGCGATCATTGTTGATCAAAAAGTTTCAACATCATCCTTCTTGGCTAAACAGCAAGGTTTCTGCGCAAACCGCGATCCTATCATCCGTAAAAAAATTCAAGATGACAACCATTGTATCTTTAATTCATATTTTTGTTCAATAGAAAATACTCTTACCTCCAGAATCTGAAGGAGCCGCGTGTTTTTACTATTTTCTTCCAAACCATATGACACGTTTTACACTGTAGTATAACACAGTATGTATTTACTAAGGGTCACACAAACACAAAGTAAAGCGAGCAACGCGTGTTATCGTCTTATCCGGACTGATTAGATAGTGCGTATAACCATTATTATTCCAGTAATCGAAAAAAAAAAAAACATTTTAAACGGAAATCTGTTTCAAATAATATTCATAATTTGAAATTCAACCTGTTGCATACGGCAGCTGAGCGACTTTCGCCGAGTCGGGCCGTTGCTTTCGACCACGAAACCGGATGTCAACAGAAATTTCAATTTAATAATAATATTATGCTGTTTATAATAAGTTACGCGGTCCCGTTTCAACTATCGAAGACATGATCAAGCTCGTTTCTCATGACATATCGTGTTTTCGTGTCGAAACATTACGTGTCTACTATGTTTATGGATGATTCTGATGTCTATTTTTTTTTTATTACTTTCATTGTTTTATTATGTACAAAAATGATAAAATTATTATTTAAATTGAAAACGATTAAATACTACATATTGTTCTGTTAAAGGATGAATGAATGAATATGTTAGAGGAAGTCTGAAAGTGGCACCTGTGATAGAGAAGCTGAGAAGTGCGCGTATGGGATGGTGTGGACATGTGATGAGACGAAATGAAAATGAGGTTGGTAAGAGAATGTTAACTATGAATGTGGAAGGATATAGAGGAAGAGGTAGACCTAAGAAGAAATGGATGGATTGCGTGAAAGACGATATGGATAAGAGGGGAGTGAGCGAAGAAATGGTATATGATAGAAGAGTGTGGAAGGAGAAAATGTTTTGTTAAAGGCATCGAAATTAGATAAATTAATTAATTGATAAGAGAAGTACGCCTCCACTTTAATGATGGGTGCGTAGTATAATGAACGTCTCGCTGTTCCTCTCGCTCGTCCGCATTTTAATGTCAGTGACGTCATAAAGCGCATGTGCATTCTATTTGTGCTATTTGACAACAATAATTTCCACAGATTCACGACAAAATACATTCATACGGCGAAGAGAGATCAGTCTGAATAGAATTTATAAGCCAAATGATGTTGACCTAGTCTACAAAGTCTGAATTTTCATGTTGCTTTTATTATAAATTCCAATTTTAAATTCTACCTACATTGTATTTTTTTTCTATTTGATATATAATATAATTTTAGTATTAAACCTTTTTTATTTTAGTATTGTATTACTAACTTGTCATAATATTAGGTTGGGGGAAAAGTTTCTTCGCATTTTTTTAAAGAAAATTCACAGCATTTTTTAATATAGTTTATTTACATTTAACTAAAGTATGTAGGTACCATTTTGTTCGATAACTTTTTGCCATCTTGTAAGTAGGGACATGATCCCATTGCTATAGAAATTTTGGGGCTTCTGATCAAAATACCACAACAGTTGGTTTTAGCAGTCCTCTCGTGTTAGTGTTAAGTAGTTACATCTACAACGTAAATGCGCCACCCACCTTGAGATACATTTCTAAGGTCTCAGTATAGTTACAACGGCTGCCCCACCCTTCAAACTTAAACGCATTACTGCTTCACGGCACAAATAGGATCATGATGAAAAACCACACTCCTTCTGTTGATTAATTCCGGCCGCTTTCGATTTCTTTATTTAATCTCATCAGAATCGATGGTCCTGCCTGGTGGTAACAGCTCATAATGATTAATACCCTCCAATCCCACCACACACACAGCATCACCTTGTTGCGATTTAACCCAGGTTTCGCCAGTCTGTGAAGCTTGACCGGCCTTTGAATACGACTTTTTCGCACGTTCCTGTCGTACGTGATCCACTTTTCATCACCAGTTATCAGCTTCTTCAAAAATGGTTCGGTTTCATTACGTCGTAATAAAGAATCACAAATGAGTACACGGTTCATTACATTTCTTTCAGTGAGCTCGTGAGATACCCAAATATCGAGTTTTTTGTGTACCCAGTTTTTTCAAATGCACCAAAACTGTTTTGTTGTCAATTCCCAGTTCTTCAGCTACGTCGTAACTACTGATAAACCCATCTTGCTCCACTTTTTCAAAAATGGCATCCATTTTATCCGTAACAGGGCCACCAGAGTGACGTGCATCTTTGACATCAAAATTTCCGGATTGAAAACAATTTGTGCTACTCTCACAGACACTGCACTAAGTCCATAAACATCGCAATTTTTTTCGCGGCTTGCGTTGCATGTTTACCTTTTTTGTAGTAAAATTTTAAAATGTATCGAATTTCTTCATTAGATTCACTCATCTTGACAGTACGAAAAATAAATAAAAATTACACATTTTCTTAATTTGAATTTGGAATTATCTTCTTTAAAATTTAAACTTTTAATGATACCAAAACCAGCCAGATACAAATAGTATAGCCAAAGAGATTTTATTACAAGTTCATTCATACTATAATGCGAAAGACTTTTCCCCCACCCTTTTATTTTATGTTATTCCTGGGTTTTCCGATAGGTAAAATAAATGAACAATTGAAATTTAATATGACGAAGTAATATTTATTCTATCGATTATTCGCTTAGCATCCGGCGGAACAGAAAATCCATAAAATACGAGGTTTTATGTCCATCGTGCCTCATCTTTATTATTGTTTTTAGTGTTAGAAGCGTTCCATAGTTTTAGTTTTGTATATAATCATATTTGAAATAAGATTAATGGTACTATCAGAAAGAAGAAGAAAGGCATAAGATGCCAATTAAAAAACAGTCTGGTGCAAAATTGTTGAGCACAACAAATATTGGCGCTAAAACAAACTATATAGTTTCGAAATGGCCAGCTACTACTATTATCCGCTGTATAAACTATTCTAACAGAGACGAACTTGAACGCTACAAAATTATTTCAAAAATGTGTCAAATAAAAAGATTACATTTGTGAAAATCATAGCGACCAGTTCAAACAATTACAAAACTTAATATGTGTGTCAGTGAACTAGAAACACATCCGACACACGTTTTTTTTATATTGTGTCGGAATCCAAACCAGTTTCGTGGGTGTTCAAAGCCTGGAGCAGATTATAATATGTGTCAAAACTTTGAAGACATCTTAGCTGTTTAGTTTATCTACGCTTTACAAACCTCATTAACTTAATTGAACTTTAACATTGTGTATGATAGTTATCATAAATATACATTAATGTCTTGAAATTTTCCTTCCAAAATGTTTTCGCCGTATATCGAAACGCTTAGAAAAATGTATAACATACATTTTTACTGTTCTAAATCAACGATCGTTAAAAGTGTATTTAATATTTTAAATCAACCGCTTCTTAAGTTTAAAAGTCAACTAACCTCGTAGTAGCATGTTCGTTTAGAAGAGAAACGAAGTTGTCCGGGAACATGCCGCGGTTTCCACGTAACTCGCCTCGCCACCAGCCCCCGGGCAATCTTTCAACGTCGCGTATCACGTCCCCCGGTCTGATCGTCAGCTCGTCCGCTTCTGATGCATCATACGCGAAGTTAACGGTGCAAGACACTGCGAAAGACATCAAATGTTTCATTATTATTTTTACACATCTTGTCTTTTGCCCTAAGTACGCTTACTTACACAAAGCGATAAGTAGCGATGCAATGAATTGTGATTAAATGCGACATAAAACTACACGCTACATTTAACTCCTATTTGACTAAGGGCTCTAGCACATCAACGAAACTGCCGATGGTTAACGCCTGACGTCAAAGATTACTGATTTTATTCATAGACTAGCGACCCGCCCTCGCTTCGCTTCGGAAACATTAAAACACATATGAAACCAAAAAATAAAAATAAAAAAAAAATTAAAAAAAGTAGCCTATGTTCATCAGGGACAGTGTCGGCTTCTAATGGAAAAAGAATTTTTCAAATCGGTCCAGTAGTTTCGGAGCCTATTCGAAACAAACAAACAAACTAATCTTTCCTCTTTATAATATTATTAAGTATAGAAGTATAGACGAGTACACACACTCACGGTCCAGCTATTGTTAATCGATTACTGGACCAATAGATATCACAACGCGAATGCCACCACCCATCATAAGGCATGTGGTCTAAGCCTTAAGCTGTCGCTGTCTTGAATTTTAAATGATACCCATCTGTGCAGGTTCGCTTGCCTTCTTTCCATCAGTAAACTAATAATATATATGTAAAATCAAATTCAAAAGAGACAGTTATGAAAATTACCAGCAATTACATTTTGAGTGCAAAAAAATGACAACCATTACCAGCAGTTGTTTTCCTCTACCCAAAGCAAAGTATTTTTATTCACAGGGGTAAAATGCGGCGTGTCATGCCTTATCCTCAATTCGAAAGAGCTTTTCTTATGAAGTCAAATAGATGTAGGCAGTACTTTGAAGTTCCCCTGCTCAGAAATACGAGCAAAATTTCATGTCAAACTGTGTATGTACTTTTAAAACAAGACACTTGTATTGTGTTTAAATCCATCAAAACCAGGGCCAATGGTGTGAGATTTCATGTACTATAAGAATTGCCTTATTACATTACATTACATACTATTTACATTTGATTGACAAATAACAAAAATCAACTGCTGTGAAAAAAGTCGAGTGCTCCTGTACCTAGAGAAAGCAAGTCCAGAAAGTCATTACCGGCACCAATGACCTTCAATCGGTGAAGAATTGATCAAGAAGAAAATACAGTTACACTTTCAAATAAGTGAAATGTTACCTTGACAGATGTTTCTTTGTTTACATATTTGCTATAAAATAATGTCTAAGGTATTATAAAACACAATGTGGAACACAGTGCCTTTATTACGGTGGCAGAAATAAAGAAGAGAGTTGTACCCATTTTGTTCACACCTTATGCCTCCTAGAGACCACTCATACACCGGTCTCACTAAAGCCAGTACCCCATGCGTAAAAATATTATGTCTCATCAAAAAATCATTCATTTTTGCCTTTTGTCCTACCTTTAAACTATGATATCTTAGCAAATTTCTAAACAAACCATTCCACATGAGTTCAATCAGCATTCAACTCTGAGCTCATTTTGTAATATCCCATTGGCTCAGTTGAATATATACCAAATCTAATATTTTTTTTAATGGGGCTAAAAATTACCAGTGCCTAAGCTTTTCAACTACATTGTATATAAAGTGAATAATAAAAAACCAGTCTTAACTTAGCAAATAATCACGATTGACTCCCACTGTGAAGGAATAATATTGTATAATAAAAATCAAACCCACAAAGGTGGTAGGACATCTTGCAAGTGCACATAGGTAGGTATCATCAACCTCCCTATTTATACCATGAAGCAGTAATGCTTTTCGGTTTGAAAAGTGGGGCAGCCATTGTATTGTAAAAACTGAGACCTTAGAACTCATATCTCAAGCTGGGTGGTGGCATTTACATTGTAGATGAGTATAGGCCCATGTAACTTCTTAACACTAGGACGATCGTGTGCTTGTGCACCCATCTAAGCAATAAGCAATTGAAAAAAAATGCACTTTTATTGCAGTTTTTTAATGGTGTCAATAGACAACTGTTTTAATAAATTCTACATTTAATATTGACAATTGTCTTTCTAGATAATGCTTAGAATGTAGTATTTAACTAAAATAATATCTGTTGGCTCTGTCAAGTATAAATACCTGTCCTGAATTCATAATAAGCTATGCAGACATATGACATGCTTTACAAATACAAGTTCCAAAGTTGAATCATCATGGCGATAGTTTCACATGTTCATAAGGTTAATGTGTTAAAAATAAACAGTATTAAAATTTTATTGTATTCATTAAAGTGCAAATCTCTAAGAAAGTTCGTATTTTTAAGTTATTAATTTTTTTATTTAATATTTTTAGTCAATTTAATCATTTTATATTATTTCTCTAGTATTTTAAGAATTTTTGCAACCTTTGCAGTATTTTAGTTTACTTTGTTATTATTCTCAAATTCAATATTATTTGCAATATAATACTCTATACTTATAATATTTGATCACTAAAATAATAAAAGAATAAGTCAATCTCTTACAGATTTAATATTTTTGCTAGAAGCGCGTCGTTTAGATTATTAGCATAGAGCAAGCATATGACATCACAATACCAAAAACATGAGTCAGACACAAATAGTCATATTTTGTTAATAGAGCAGTACTGGTAGCGTTATTTACATTTAAAAAAATTGCTACTTTCGACAAGAGTAGCTGGTATATTTTAGAATGAATGAAAGTTTATCTAAAGATAAGACATGGCGAAGAGTTACGTACATGATGCTTCACGATCCCCGTTTTTTCCCCGTTATTTTCGAGATTTAAAAAAAATTAAATACGGCACATTACCGTCGTTGTCATACGGCGCCATACAAACGAATTCGTGTCGCAAGACTCACAAGATACAGTTATTCATACACAAACAAGACAGGGTCTTTTGTAGTGGCGATATACCAATCAACTCACCTTTTTGTGATAGATTTGTCTCCATTGCCGGCATTGAACACTAATCACAACATCACGTATTTTTTATTTCATTGATCCACAAATAGCACATTTCAATTCTGATCACGAAATAACAAGAAACGATTCACAAATTAATATCGTATACAAGCGTGTGGAAAGCAAAGGCTCACTGTTTTTGACATTTAGTTTATGAGATGTCAAACGACATTTTCTTTTTTTTTTTGTTCGTCCAGTTGGTACGTAAAGGGAGCCTAACAATAAGCATTATCTTTTTCAACAGAGATTGAGGCCATATCTTGAATGACAAAATTGATCTGGTTTTAGAATGAATTTCAGTAAAACAAAATGAGACAAGTAAACGACATAGTTATCAAATGAGTTATGATGAATTACTAAGTAGTGTTGTTGTTCGGTAGACCATGTACCCTACTCTGCCTAGTTGGTAGCCTAAAAGGCTATTCCAACTACCTACTCATGGACCGATAGGTGACCTCACGGGGTCAACCTGAGACAATTGCTAACACTCACTCTAGCAAGAGCAGTGGTGCCCTGAATCTACCACCGGATCTATATTACTACTAAATACTAAATTAAACATAAACCATATTGCAGTGCCTGGGTGTGATTATAAGTCCAAGCTGTCCATAGATTCACTCGGACACACATAAGTTTGCATCCAATCTTCTAATTCCCGCCTTACCTACTTTTGCATTTCGCAGTGGGCATTATAATACCGATTACCCACTGCGAAATGCAAAGATGGGATGTAATTATTTTGAACTAAAACAATCAAATTAGCTGTTAGTACCGGTAAAATGGGGCGATTAGGGATTGAGAGGCGAATCGGGAAAAAACCGGGAAAATCTTTCGACGCTCAATATAAGTTTTATATTCGTTGCAAAATCTTCCATTTTTTGTAGTTTAATAGTAGAATGTTAAAAGTTCACAAAACAACTCTGAATATGCATGATAATAGCTGCTAACTTATAAAAAATCGCGATTCAAATTAACTTTCTGTGGTGGTCATTATTTTAGTGCTAGAAACTTTGCTCTCTTTTATTTATTTGATAATAATAGAAGACGACTATGATTTATAAACGTTATTTAGTATTTGAACCAGCATATATATTAAAGGTAAGTCTCAGTTGTTATTGGTTTTAATGTATTTGATTAAATAAAAATACATGTAAAAATCTGTTGTTTTTGGGGATATTGGGGACGTCTTAGGTACAAATAACAACGAAAAAGGGGTCAATTGGGATGAGAATACGTGAAATGGAAACGACCTAAGTATAAATAGGTACAGGTTTGTAGGGTTGTCTATGTAGTTATAACAATATTTTTTAAATTTGTTGGTAAAAATCTGGTTTATTCGAAGCGAAATTGGGAATAAGTCTTTAGTTGAAATAGATAAGCAATTTAATATAAGTAAGTCGATTTTGCAGAGACATGTAACAAGATCAATGAAATCTCAAGGTGGACAAAAATGTCTAAGTAATACATAATAAAATATTTAATATTTGTTCAGAGTGGGGGTATTCATCTGATTAATCCATGGAATAACCGACACACCTAATCTCTTAACCCAGATAGAAATATCAGCACTGTCGATTGCACCTATAATTGAGGTGATGTCTGCCATGTACTTTTGTCAGTTTTTCAATTTTTTTTATTGATGATCACTTTGTTGGTGCAACTAAATAAATAAATAAATTAAAACTATATATAAAAATAAAAGTAGTGCCAACCCTAGCAAATTTCTCATTTCGTCCCAATTAACCGCAATTTTCGGGTAAATAGGGATTACACCTATTTTTGCATTTTTTGCTTAAACTGGAATGCTAGTTGCATAATTTTAAATTAGACAACAAAGATGCGCCCAAGACTCAATCATTTTGATCCTGATATAGCATTATATACATCAACAACTACCTTAAAATTGCTCATAAAGTTGGAATTTGTCCCTAATCGCCCCATTTTACGGTATTCCATTTGATTTCGGTTAAACTTCAAAATTCGATTTTAAATAGCTTCCGATTGTTTGGACTAGTGAATCTATCAAACGATAGTGTTAAAGTAAATGTTTATTCTCTACTTTAAGATTCGAACTTAGTGGTTTATTAAAAAGAAAATGCGATGGTATTACTTATGGCTCTGTTGGATTAGAATAATATAGAGCATACATTGGGGTACCATTTAATGCAAATACAATAGTAGACAATGTGGTGTGGTGGCTTGGAAGAAAGAACACCAATAGCCTAAGTAGTGTCTTATTCATACTTATTCATTTCATGGTCACTGGGATTCTTAAGCTTGAAGGTGATAGCCAAAAATTAATTATGTTGATTTTGTTTTGTTGTAGCTGAATATATATTTTTAATTTAGTTTTTTACCTTCTACCACAACCACGTATGTGTGAATGAAAAGAAAAATAATTTGCATTTTTTAAATAACTTATATTTCTCTAAACAAAATAACAGCAAGACATCCTTTGTACAATGACTAATATACTTTTGCATTAATGCTTTATGCATCCTGCTGAATCAGGAGGAATTCCAAGCTCTTCATCAGTCCATGTACTGGGATCAATATAAGGCCACTCACCCTGGAAAATTAAATTGAAATGAAGGAAAATAATATTTTAGATAAAATATTATAGATAAAACATTATTTATGATATTTCATTGAATCAGATGTATGTCTCTGTGTGTAACTTTTTTTTTTATTAGAATAAAATTTTTTTAGGTTCAGGTATCTCAAGTTCATATCTCAAGGTAGGTGGCAGCATTTATGTTATAGATATCTATGGGCTCCAGTAACACTTAATATAAGGTGAGCTCGTCCACCAACCTAAGCAGTAAATAAAAAAACGCAAAATAATACACCTCAGATTGCTCCGTAAATAAAATGAATAGGCCTGTAGGTCTCAACCATATGCCTTTGTAGAGTACTGGAGTTCTTTGGACACATTGCTGGAAAAGAGGATCAAAATCCCGAGTAGCTGATGGTATCAGCATGGTAGAGAGCAAGCTTCCCAGAGGATGCAGTCCGATATTCTTCAAACATAAAGTTCCATGATGCCCTTCATGAAGCCAAGCAACTCAGCAAATGGAGGGAAATCGTATGTGAGAAAATGATACAGTCATGACCCTCACTAATGAGGAAAGTGACACAAGGAGGGAGTAAGACTCAAAAGTGCTCTAAAAGATATTTTAGGAATAGATACTAGTTATGTTCCTGGAATCTGGATTACTGGTGGCCCGGAGGCCTTTCCAGTTTCACCAGGACAGGTGGGCGAGCAAAGGCTCAGCCAGGAGGGGTGGGATTTGCTAACAGCTACCCGAGCGCCTCCGAAGGAGACCTAACAGCTCAAGAGCAGCTGCTTCGCGAATGAATCTACTACCGGATCGGAATCGCGACCCGCTGAGAAGATCCGGCGAGAAACTCAGCGAGCTGATTCATGGGTTAGGTTGCACGGCGAACTCTTTGTCGAGTTCGACGAGTACGGTTACCGAGGTCCCTAAGCCTGCTCCTAGAGCTGAAGGCGTCTAGTGCGAAGGTTATTGGATCTGATGGATCCGTAAGGACGTGTCTAGGGCGTCGACGGTGACTGGCTCCTGCATGATCAGGATTCGGGGAGTAGTCAGCGGCGGCTACAATAAGGCGATTATCATGACGCATAGCGACTGGAATCTCATTGTGTTGTTTCACATATGACATCTGAACCAACTATTTCTGTTTTGTTATACTTGTTGTAAAGTGTATCTAAAAGTAATTATTAAGTCCTTCAAACATAAATTTATTCAGTGGATGACTGAATAAATATTAAAATTGCTGAGGTCAGCACAACTCCTTATTAACCCCTCTTAAGTAAGCTTGTTATATTATGTTTACTTACAGTTATGTGCTCAGGTTCAGTTGCAATGTGATACAGAATCCACCACCAGCACAATCCACCAAGCCCTTGAGCTAACCGAATCGATTTTTTTGAAGGCATTGGTGGCGGTACACGGTACGTCCAAACTCTGCAATGAAAATCATTTAAACAAAATGAAATAGAAAAAAACACAGGCTAAAGGTTAATAATTCTACACTTTATTGAATGAGTTATTTAGCAATAGCAGTTGTGGAAAATTAAATATAAGTGAGTAATTAATATTAATGGGTGAATTAAATATAAATAATTGTTTTATTTTAAGGTTACAAATTTTAATCACTATTAGAGCTCACAGTTAAGCCAAGTTATTGCTTAAGTAGGGAATCTACTTTGTCTATTTCCTTAATTTGCAGAACTAATAAGGCATAACTCAGATTTACACATCAGGAGCAGTAAACATATACTTTGATTTCTAATGCATTCATTTTTGTCTTAAATGGTTATGGTGGTGCTGTCCACATCTACACGTGTCACTATTATTAATTTATTTAGATTAAATGCTTATTTGAATAGCTAACTTTACTTAGCTTACTTTACATAGATATAAAAGTATACGCTATGTTTTTTCAGAAGAATGAATGCTTGAACTTATTTATTTCAGGTACATTCATTATATATTGTCTGGTACCATTATACATAAATATGTTAACCCAGCTGGAGTTACAGTATACACCTAGTGTGTGGTATAATGAAGGTATATACCCAATATTGTTTCTTTCATTCAGACTGAATATATATTATTGTATCAGTTTTTTTTTTTAATTCATAATAACTCCTCAAGGCTTGTTGATAAGAATTATCAAGCGCAAGTAATTTTTTATTGAACATTTGATGAGAACATAGTTGTTTTATATTTTTATATTCCTTTTTATTATTCTTATATTATTTTATGTTAATGTAATTAAAATTTAATCTGCTCTCAGTATGTATGTATACATTCAATGACATAACACCCATTTTCACTAACCCATGTCCTGCATTTCGTTTGGTTTGTTTCAAGCTGTCGCCAGCGTTTTGCAGCCTACGGAGCAGAATAGCTCTCGTTAGCAAAGTTCTTGTCAACATTATTTCTAGTAATTTGTTGGCTTCCTCGATAAATTTTGTAGAGGTAAAACACTTTTCTCAAAATCTGCACCTAAAAAATGACAGTAGTTCCATATCCATTTTCCAACAGGAAAGTCGAAGATATCATACCAAACAGCCTAGTTTTTCATACATTTTTAAAATCGATAAATAAAAGTCCTAAACTTTTGTATAAAATAAACTTATTATAAAACAAACAAAAGGAATCCGTCCGACGGGGGACACATCAAAGTAAAAACAAAATTGTAATTTTTATTAAATCCGAGTATTTTCATATTTATCTACCTTTTAAAGCTCTGGATTTCCACAAATAATTCAAGACCAAAATTAGCCAAATCGGTCCAGCCGTTCTCGAGTTTTAGCGAGACTAACGAACAGCAATTCATTTTTATAGAGATGTTATTCCTTCACCGTGGAAGTCAATCAATATTTCATTAGAAAAATTGTCTGAGATTCGAACACCGGTGCATCGCTCAACACGAATGCACTGGACGTCTTAACCTTAAGGCCACGACGGAATCTGCGAAGCACGGCTCTCGCTAGGGCTCGTGTTAGCAACATTGTCAAGTTTGAGCCCCGTGAGCTCACCTACTAGCCGCGTGACGCTGATATGATCTCTTTAGACCATTTAGGTAGGGAAAAAATCTGAAGAAACACTAGGTATGTAGGTACATTAACAAAACTCAACTTTGTTCGTCGCAGTCCCGCCATAAAGTCCTAAAAATCTATTCTAATCTATTTGCTGTTCTATTCAAGCTGTTATATTCACTTTTTATTTTATTTTAAGCGTTTAATTGCTCAATAGATAGACAAAAGGGACTTAACTAATAAGCTACATTTTTAATAACAAAAGATCGAAACCAAATCACACGAAATACAACGAAATGAAAATTATTATTATTTAATTTATTATGGACTAAAAAGTTTAGTTTCAACATATGTTTTTCTGTCCGAGAATTACCAAGTAGCTTTCACCTAAAATCGGTACCTAGTTTATAGTATCTACAAAACACTGCTGCCTCTCCGTTCTTGATCGTCTTTTACGATATCGATGGGAAGAGAGGATGATTCTATTGCCAACACAATTATAAGATATGAGTATGACGTTAAATTAGGTCAGAAACGATTGCACCAGGCACCTTACTCTTCTGATTAAATATTATATAATAGTTAAAAAAAACAAAAAAACACGTTTTTCTATAAAATCCAACTAACAAATTGAAAATAAACTTAGTGTAAAAAAATCATGAGGTCAATATGTATCATAAATTATTCAGTTCCTACCTACCCTAATGTACTTTCACACCAATACAACAATAAGTGAAAAAAAGAACGCGCTCAGTGTGCTTAGTGCGAGTTTTTTAACGTTCTCGATAGCGTAAGATATAATAATAATATAATAAATATAATAAATATAAATATTTTACCAACAATCACGCCACGTTAACTGGTCCCGTGATAAGTTCGTAAAGAACTTGTGTTACATGTACCAGATAACGGAAATAAATGTAAGATTTTTATTATACACATACATATATTTAATATACATCCATAACCCTGGAAAAGACATTTATATTTATCATACAAATATCTTCCCTTGGCGGGATTCGAACCCGCGACCCCCTAGTGTAGTGACCATGTCACTTACCACTACACCAGACGGACGTAAGAGTTAGCCCAAATTTGTATGCAGTTGGAACAGCGCCCCTAGCGGCAAACGAAGGCAAATTTTTTTTCTTTCCTAAGCTGATATCCTTGAGAGGCTATATCAGCGTAACCTTAACTTATAGGTGAGCTCACGGGGCTCAAACCTGACGAAGTTGCTAACACGAACCCTAGCAAGAGCCGTGCTGCGCAGAATCTACCACCGGATCGGAAACGCGACCCACTGAGAAGATCCGGCAAGAAACTCAGTGGGCTGTGTCTGAGGGTTAATTTACACGTCGAGCCCTTCGTCGCAAGCGACGGGTTCGACGAGAACGGTGACCGGTGCTTGAAGTAACTAGAAGTATCGTTAGTGGATAGGGAGGATCCGAGATGACGTGTTTGGGGCGACGTCGACTACTTTCCATTCTTTACGTAGGCAAAGAGGCAAACGATCCCATTCCATACCACTATGATCTAGCTTTTACGCTATCGAGAACGTTAAAAAACTCGCACTAAGCACACTGATGAATTTGTTGACTGAAGTTGTTTGACTGTAGAAAGTAAATAACGACTCTAATTGTTTAAAATATTGAATTGTCAATAATAATAATAATAATTGTCATCGATCCTTTTTATGTAGGTGTACCTACATACTTAATCCGACGGCCGACTTTTTTGAAGGGTGTCAAAATCACGGTGAAACTTCGATCAACATCGAAGCGGTAAAAGATACCGTTTACCGCGTTTCACATAGTGGTGAAAGGCTATTTGGTTTAAGCGACATTTCACGTAACATGCGACATTTATCTTTGTAATCATTAAAGGTTCGTTGATTTGGTATTAGCAACAACAATTCGACGTTTTTAATTGAATTTCAATTAAGTTTACCCCATTCAAATAGGTGAATATATAATTTTTTTTTTCTATATTACAAACTTTAATTGGCCCTTCTGCAAAGTTGCAAAAACGTCACATAAACCAAACAGCCTATCACCCCTCGATATAATAAAAACATAGGAATCGTAATGAAAATAATTTTGTATCACATTCTGTTTATTTTTATTTTTTACATTACATTTGCTGTTCTATTCAAGATTGTATTGTTTTAACTAGCCTTATATATGAGTCGTCTATTATCAAAGGCGGCAATCTGTGCATTTGGACAACAAAATTTTATTGATATGTCAATACAGATTTATTTGAATATAATCGTCTCCTTCAAAGAATACGGTTCAAAACCTGCATTAAATAAAGGTTAATAGTTAACCTGTTATTTATCTAAGATGTCGTTCCGAAGAATTTTGTGACTGCCGATGGAATACAAAGTCAATAATTCGTTTTTCTGATTTACCAATCATTGTCCAAAAGTCAGATTGCCGCCTTTGATAATAGTCGACTCATATCTATTATTTGGTTTTATCTTGACAGCATGGTCGTGGTGCTTCTGTCCCATCTTCTAATATAGCATGATCATTGAAAGGTATGTTGTCTAATTTCACAGTGTCATCGGTAATTCTTGCTTCTGAAATTTTTATCCATTTGGATATTATTTTTGAAAATTTAATTATAAAATTAATTAAATAGGTATAAACAAAAAAGGCAAAAAGCTGAAAAGCTTTAATCATTCCTAAGGCTCAGAACTTCAGGAAATATAATTATTCTCTGATTGTTATCGAGTTACAGATAAAAATAATTGTAATTTGATTGTGATTTTCAATTTGTTAAATGTTGTGAACTTGCTCATCGCTAACCCATATCAGTTTAATGTAATGTTGTGCTTTAAAACATAAGATGTTCAGTGTATTATGGTTACTATAGTGGTGTTCAAACTCTTAAAAATTTATCAACTGTTTTGAGGAATGTATAACATTAGTTTGTGAATGACTTCCACAATGAGGGAATAACATAGAATAAAAATGAAACCTGCATAATTTATACATTTGCTTAATCATTCACTCAATTGAGCAATAATTTTTTTTAAATAATTTTCTGAACTTTAGTCTCAGTTATTCCTGAGATAATTTTTTAATGTTTCGTACTATTGTGTACTAGTAAGGGTACTTGTTCTCCTTTTAATAAAATAATTGCTAAGTGTGGTTTGTACCCAGACACACAATGAACTGATTTGTTACCCAACACATGTGCTTAAGTTCATAATTAAATAATAAAACATAATACATACTTATATTAAACTATAACAAGGATGTACTTACCATAAACACCTGGTTTTATTTCTCGGGCTTGAATCACTTGAGTCCTTAATTCCCTTTCTATATCCTCTCCAAATGCAATCATCTGAAAATTAATATTACCATAAGTTTATTAGCCTCCTGTTACGCCACAGTTAAAGTAAAATAATAAAAATACAACTGTCTCTTCTAAAAGATTGTGCACATCTGTTACTATTTGTATTATAATTTATTTATGTATTTATTACACTTCATGTAAAATTTACATTGGCAGATTTAATGCCCAAGGCATTCTCTACCAGTCAACCAAAGATAGTGCAGAGTAAATTCGTCTGATTTATAGAATATTTTTCTTTGATAGGTACTACTACTACTAAGTACCTAATATGTACATAATTATTACATATTGTTGTTTTAAATAAAGCTATATTCACAAAATACCGCTTTAATCGAGTTTTCATTTTGAACATTTTTGTTTTTGCGAAATTCTTCATTTATTTTTATTCGTGCCGCTAATAAAGCACGTTCGTCGCCTTCGAAGACTTTCATTCTAGTTCTGTGCAATTTCTTGAAGCTTTGTAAAACCTACAAATAAAGTAAGCGTTATCCATGTGAAACAAGGCGATTTTAAAATACAAATTAGAAACGAATCACTAATGATTACATGTTTACCAAACGTCTTGTCATCATTTTCAGTTTAGTCTTTACTAAACCCCTGGTATAATATTTATTATTTAGTTAAATTTTCTTTATTGTTTGTTTACATAACGTTTTTTTTTTCTTCTTTTACCTAGTCAGTTAAGCAAGGGATACACGACAGATGGGGCCCATACGGTATCGGGCATCGGCTGTAGTTTTTCCATTCCATTAAATTTTTTTATTTAATAGTATGTGCCATACTAATGGCCAATTAAGACGAATTACGAAATGGTTTAAAAAAGTAAGTATATATATTTTTTTATTGCCGTATAGGCAGACGAACATACGGCCCACCTGATGGTGAGTGGTTACCGTCGCTCATGGACGTCAGCAATGCCAGGGCCAGAGCCAAGCCGCTGCCTAAAAAGCTAGTTGGATTTAAGACAAGATTTTAATATACTTTTGGAAGACTCGAGATAACATATCTAGCTATATTCTTTCACACATGAATTATTTGTATTCTTATTCTTATAACAAAGGTTATTTTATTTTATCTCACCTCAGGTAATACAATAATTTCACTTTTCAATTAACAGATTGTTCGGATATCGTTTTAAAGGATTTGTATGTATGGACTAGGTTCCCTTTACCGGTCTAATGAATAACCGAGTAAAATAAATCATACTTTGACGGTTGACCAATAACAATAGAATTTGTGATAGTTAAGTACATACGTACCGTATGTACCTACCTAGGTATTTTTATTTTTTAGCTAAACAGGTGCAGACAGGTTATGAGAACTAGATGCGTTGTCATCATAAATTAATGGGCTTGAAATGTAATCAGTCGTATATGTTGCTGCCCGTGTAAAATCTATTAATCATGCCTTTTGAAATCTGTTTACTACAAGCAATCTCTTTTTTGGTTTGTCTTTATTGCACATTTTCGATACTTGAAAAAAAAATTACATCAGACATGCACAATCTTGCCCCTTCTGTTTTTGCACTTTTAAAATATAGTATAGTATAGTATTAAATAGTTGTTAAACTCACAAGTTGTAATGTTTTGTGGGTTTTTCTTTCGGTGAGATCATGGTCTCCTACATCTATTTCATAGTATGAAATTCATACTAAGTGGTTACTGCAGCCTACTCACTTCACGTCATAAATCATCTGAGACTGAGACCATATAGGGGTATCTTTTGTGTTGACACAAGATCAGCTTTCAAAGTACATACTTAAACTAAAACATGATTACTTTATGGTAAAAATATACAGAATGGTTGTTGGCCTTCTAGGAATTTTAAGGTTGACTAGGAATATTTTCATGAGGTGAGGATATTACTATGGATGGATCCAGGGCCTCAGGGAGACAACTAAATGAACATGAGGAAATTATTTGGTGTAGCATGCCAATGCTTATTTATTCTAACAAAAGTCCAATAGTCCTTAAAAACATCCATATGCCTCTCATTGGTCTTTATTTGATATATCATTTTCATTTTATATGTTAAATTTTTCTAGGATCTTTTAGCTGTGGGCCTTATAATTCCACTTGTACCTGGCCATGTGAGGAAAATGGGAGCAAACCACATTTATGTGGGTTTACTTGGTTCCATATATGCTGGTTTCCAATTGGGCTCAGGACCACTTATAGTAAGTGTCAAAATAATTACAATGAAATTGAACCTTAAAATCTTTTTAATGCTTTTGGTGGATGTAAGATCTTTTACTTAGAGATAGACTGTAACTGAAGCCTACAACTAGGTATATGAATGCTATCATCACTTTGAGATATGAGATTTAAATCTCAATGCTAAATGCTAGGTAGTTGGAAACTCACTAGTGACAATTTCTCTAGTAAATGTGTAAAAGTATAAATATAATTTTGGTTTAGTTTTTATCGTAAAATGTCCCTTCAACCTGGAAATTATTAGTGTTTAATTTTATTTAAAAGAATTGGTACTTGCTTTCCAGAATGTGTACCTAACATAAGGAATCAGGCATATTTAGGTAACTTCAGTGCAGCCTTTTCACAATGTAAAAATGACATTAAAAAAAGCTACCTTTCAGTCATTAGAGTTAATTGAGTTAATTCAATCATTGATACATTTGAAGATAGACTTAAAGAAATTTGCTATTAGGTATAATGCCTTTATAGGCATTATTAGTATTTTATTTAATTTAATAATTTTTTGTTTTTTGTATTTGATTAATTTCAGGGAAGTTTGAGTGATCTGAAAGGTAGAAGAACAATACTAATTTTAACATTACTGATATGTAGTGTTGCTTACACAGTACTAGGTCTGACTTCTTCAATACTAGTCATATTACTTCTAAGAGGTGTTTTGGGTAAGATTTTAATATTACATTTATATTAAATTTTCAATAAGTTAAAAATATTATTGTTTAAATATATATTTATATACATACATGTTGGAGAGGTCTATTGTAGTCTATCGAAGCTGAATTTTTAATGAGGAACAAATGATGGTGATATCATAGCTTTGGTACAGGCTGGCTAATGTTCGTGTGAGCTCAGTGTAAGAGGTTCATTTGACCGACCGATAGATTTCTCAATGATCCATCGTACAGACAGACCACTAGCCTAGACACGGTTTTGTGACTCATTGTATCCAAGTACTTTAATTGTTAAAAAACTATTGCTACTGTTCTGTTCATGAAAGATAGAAAAATATTTTAAAGGAAAATTATTTACACCTAGGTACTGATGTACAAACTACAACATCCATGATGCCTAAAGGACCTCTATTCCAGAAGCAAATTTTATACCCCGAAAAAGTATCATTATTTTTAATAGTGTTTGCTACTTAATTAAATAGCAAGCTTATGTCAGTGTATTTCATTGCATCAGTTAAAAGCCTAGCTAGCCATAGAGGTCTTATAACTAACTGTCAATGGTCAGTGAACAGAATATGGAACTTATTGACTGGTATATGAAAATCAGCAATAGTTAGAGAATGAAAACCACTGGTGCTAAACTGTGCAGGAAATTGTCCAGATAACCAGACAAGTAACCAATCTTCAAACATCAGTTTGATATGTTAACTAATTGGATCTCTACATTTCAGGTTTCTTCAAACAAACCCAAATGTTGGCCAAGGCTTTAGTGCCTGATTATGAAAACAATGAGCAAAAACAGGCTGAAATTTATGGTAAAATGGCTGCAATATCTGGAGTAGGTATTACATTGGGGCCTATGATTGGTGGTCATATTATGGAAGACAATCCAAATGGTGCATTTATGTTTATTGCTTTTATAGTCGGAATATGTTTTATTTTTAATGCTGGTAAGTTTCTAACCTTTTGCCTAGCAATGTTATTTTAAATGAATGTTACGACCCTACATAAGTAAAGTAGTTGTGCAACAACTTAAAATACAATGTATCTTTATTTTTAATTATTTAAGCCCATAACCAACATAGTTATAAAGTAATATACATTAAATAGGAAATATAAAAAGTAATCTGCTAATTCTGTTATAGTAAATAATAGTAATCGGCACGAATCTTGAGCTCTTTACAAAAGAGTGAGGGGCTGTGGGCATCGTATACTACCTACTTATTGTTCAGGTCAAAAATAAATCAATCAATTTTATGTTGTGATTAAAAAAAAATGAATAATAGGTACCTACTTCATAAATAAGCATTGAATCTTTTTAGATTTTTGTGTTAGGGGGGGAGTCGGTGATAAGTATTAGTGGGATGGGTTCTGCCAGTGAACCCATACCTAAAAAATGCTAATCTGCTTGCGTACGCCTGGGTGTGTGGAACCAGGCTATTAGGCGCGCACCGACAAGTGCTTCATATACGTCCTCGCCATCACATTTCATTAGTGATGGGCCCACATATCTACATCTTTGTGGGTCGTCCCNAAATATAGAGAAAAAAAAAAAAAAAGAAAAGATTTTTGTGTTATGTGGTCTGGTTGCCTTTGTGTGACAGTTGTTCAAAGCTAAAAAAGCATTATTTATACGATATATCAGAATTATAAGAATCTTAATTTATCAATAATGGATCCCTTACACCTTGTATTTTTGTTTTAGCTCTTGTTTGTTTCCTGCCAAAGCCAAAGCACAGTAAGAAGCCATCAAAAAGAAACAAAACAAAAGATGTTCTCTCTGAGAATTTAGTGTTATCACTTTTTAACAGTTTCAAACAATCATTTGTTGTATTGTACAGCATAAATTGGTCTAAATATTGGGACATTTTTTTATATAAAGCTTTAGTTGGGTTTGCAATGGGGGTCTACTATTCTAATTATGCTTTATATTTGAAAACTACATATGACTTGTCTCCCAAATATGTGGGTTATGTTATATCATTCCAAGGTGTTATGGGTTCTATTTCTAGTTATTTTATAGGATACATAAATAGTTTCTATAAAAAGGATGTAGACTACAGCTTAAGGAGTTTACATGTGTTTTTGTTATTAAGTATTTCATTGACAGGGTTAATAGTATCAATAAATGTGTACAATTATGTAATATGGTTGATTCCTTTAGCTATGGGTAATGCAGTTAGTAGGTTGGTAACATTAGAAATGGTGCTAAAAAGGAGTGATGGTGATCATAGAGGCACATTAATAGGCGCTTCCAACAGTGTCAGATCTTTATCTGGAGTGGTCGCACCTATGGTTGCTGGGTTTATAGGGCAATTTTTAGGAGTTTCATATGTGATATATGCTTCATTGGCACCCACAGTACTGGGTCTTGTGATGAGTTACCATTATAGAACTAAAAGGAAAGTTGACTAATTGTATGATTATATTTTACAATTTTATTGTAAATAATTTCATGAGTTACATAAATGTTTTGTTGAAGAAATCTTTGCTTTTAATTTAAAAACTCTACATTGCCTAATATTTTAAAAATATTAAGTTACACAATAACTTAGATTATTCTGTTCTTTTTTTAGAGGCTTGTTTATTTATTAAATTATTTATCTTAGTATATAACCTAGATTTCTTGAAGCTGATTATACATAGATACAGATCAAGCTAATAAAAACATAAAATCAATAATTTTATTAAATAATTAATAAAGGCCCTATGGACATAACTTCAGTAGTTGTGCATATGGGTGGTTATCAGAGCCGATAAACATTAAATTATATGTTTCCATGACACAAGGTGTAAGTTTGAATTGTGTAGACAGCTCCTTAGGAGAAATAGGCTAACTAGTGAAAACTACATAAGGTACCCACCCTACCAGCAGTATGATTGATATTAAGATACAGAAAAAATGCTTAAAATTGAAGACAAGCTAGCTGAGCAGTGGCCAGTGGTAGCAAAGTCAAACAATTTTGTAAGACATTTTATTAATACACTGAATGCAAAGTGTCACTAACCTAGGTGAGTATTATTACCACACAAAATAATAGGCTACCTTCTTTTTGGGGTCAATGCAATGTGTCCTCATCTTCCATTCATACTCTTTAACACAGTCCATGGCATTTTATACCTCCACCTTCTCACATTACTATCTACTTTCAAACTCAGGGTTTTTTAGCCAAATGATCATCTTGTTTTCGCATAAAGTGCCCATACTACAATAACCATGAAGAGACAGTCAAAAACACCCGTGATCTTACTGAAATAGTGTTATTGGTTTTAGAGATGATATACTACTAATGAATTATTGGTCAATCCTGCTCAAACCAAATGTAATGTAATGTTCACAAAAAACACTGAATTTAACAATAAGATGTGAGCTATTCTGGAACAATGATTGACAGCAGGTTGATATGGAACAGCCACCAGATTAGATTATGAATATTTTTTTTAGCAATATCGCAAAATAAACACTTTATACTAAAGTTATTCATGAATGATTTCCATAATGAAGGAATAACACAATAATAATATGTCACATACTTAGTACAGGTAATAATGTTCTAGTTTTAAGGGTGAGTTAACTGTTGTAGAAGGGAGCCTTAGATTTGACATTATGATGTCTATGGACTTTTATAAGCATTTAAGACCAGGTGAGCCATAAGCTTGTTGATCTATCTGTAAAATTACCTGATGAATCCAAATTGAATGAGCTTCCTTAATACAGTAGTATGAGTTTCGTTGCCTTCAATTCATTGAAATAGTAATAAAATAATAGTAATAATTAAAGTACATAATGTATTTAATAAAGTTTGACAACAAAAACTAAATTATATTATTTATAAACTTGGTTCACTTGGATTCCAGACTTTGCATTTGTTTCTTCCTCATATCCTGTATTAATTTTTGAATCGCTTCTCTATCATGTTGGTTTTCTGGTGGGAAGATTTGTCTTTTTGTATTGGTTACCCATTCTTCAAAATATTTTGGTTGGTTGAAAAAAAAGAACAATCCAACAGGAAACGATGTGTACATAGCCATCCTACCCACTTCTAGTTTCCAATTACCCATAGTTTAAAAATTTATTTTCAGATTCTCAGAACTTAGATTGTTGTATTTAGATTTTTCTCTAATAAATATCTTATCGCAATTTATCACATCCACAGATTATTATAATATATTCAAAGTTTTTTTTTTTTTAGGTATCACGCATTTTCAAAGTTTATGAGTCTCCGTATTTATGGCGGCTGTACACACTCGCCGAGTCTCGGGCGATATGGCCCTCGACGAGAGCGTTCCTGTACACACTCATTTTTCATTTGTACTGAAATTACCGCAGTAATAGACGTAGAACTTGCTGCTGCTGTTTTTCTTTGTGCTCGTATTATAATTATTTACAAATTTACCACAAAAAGAAAAAACTTAAATAATCCATGGCGAAGAAGATGTTGGATAGTTACTATGCACCGTATATATTATTGCTCAGATGGGTGCTCACAGGCCACCTGGTGTTAAGTGGTTACCGGAGCTCATAGACAACTACAACGTAATGCGCCGCCCACCTTGAGATATAAGATCTAAGGTCTCACTCAGTTGCCCCGCTCTTCAAACCGAAACGCATTACTGCTTCACGGCAGAAACAGGCAGGGTGGTGGTACCTACCCCTGCAGACTCACTAGAGGTCCCCCACTAGGAAAAATAAGTTTAAACTTAAAACTTAACGATAATACTGAATAAGCAAGTGTGTACATGATAGCTCTCATTTGCTTCGCGAGACCCCACGAGTTCCTTTGATTCGGGCGCAAAAAACCGACAAGCAACCGCGGATAAGTGAGGCAAGACGCGAAAGAGCGAGACAAGACAAGAGCACCATGTACATTGTACACACTCGCTCTCGGTCTGCTTCGGAGTGTCTCGACTTGACGAGTGTGTACAACCGGCATTAAAGATATGTCACACCATAGATAATACACTTAATATTTGAGATGTCTAACTGGAAAGGCGATAGTTTCAAACCATACAGCTTTATCTTTTTCATATTCTTTTTTATGAAATATGTTAAGGACCAAAATGAAATGAAGTTGATTATTTTATGACATTAATAAATTGGGATGAAATTAAATGGAACGAGATGATATGGGTAGAAATAAACTCCTAGTAAAATGTCCGATAGTTACTGAAACTTTTTCAGTGGACTTTTTGAAAGATGCCAGAAGTTACGTTCAGCGGCTTTGGTTCATTTCCCCACATTTGTGCACTTTTGTAGATAATAAACACTAAATTACCGTTATTATACATTTAAACACGAAGAAACATTAAATTAACAAAATAAAACAATTCAACCAACTCTGCTCCTTGCGTTCGCACCAAAAAGTATTATTACCTAATTATTGTTAATTGGATTTCACATGTGATAATTATAGGCAACTACGGTAGCTATCACAGTAGTTGAACTAATTAATTATACAATCCCTACCTATAATTATGGAAATACATAATTTCACCATAAATTAATGCCATAATTACGAGTACGTCTGAAGTTTTAGTTTTACTCGTTAAATCGTGGCTTATAAGATATTAATAAAATTTATTGTAATTCCTTCAACTAATAATACTACACATAGCCTAAGAGAATGCAGAGAGAGAATATGTATATTTTCTTATACACCAAAACGCAATTGACCTTGTTAATCGCTTGGATGGTGAATGAACGATCAAACAATGTTGAAGAATGTTTAGGAATTTGTAATCTTTAAGTTATCTGATGATCTCACAGAATCACAAAGGGCCTCGAAAGGTTCCTTGAGATGTGTTTGGGGAATGGAGGGTAAAATATATTACAATTTAGTAAAGAAAGAATATAAGTACATATAACGACGAAGGTAAATTGTCAACCACTTGACTTAAGAACGGAATTCATATACCTATATGATTCACTGAAGTAGGAAACCTATGGAAATGAAAAATTCGTGCCACTGTGACGTCATCTGGCCACAAAACATGGCGGTTTTAGTGCTGCCCAGAAGATTTTAATGTTAGTAGGTTTTATCGATAAACGTTCTTGGCTCATTTTATTTTAAATATTGTTGAGTGAATGTATTTGTAGAATTTATACTTTAATAGGAAGTAAGTATATTGTTATGTGCAAAGATGATGTGATTTAGATATTATGTGAAATCTAAGACGAGTTCGTGCTTCAAATTTGCCAAGTAAACGATATGACGATTTTTAAAATTTGCTACACTGATTTTATAAAGTTGTCGTTTGCCGCAAAACATAAAGATATGGCGTAGTACAGTGCCATCTGCCCATTTCTAGCATGCTGAATGTTATCGTATTTTGAGTACGTGTTTTTCTTAGACTATTACAATCTATTTTAATTGTTTTGCTGACTCTAAAGTCCGTAACACACTACCGCAGCGCACCTCAAGGAAGGTACGCCGCACCATTTGAATCACTCTCACTTGAGAGTGATTCAAATTTTAAACTTATCAAGGGACCGCCTGATAAAAAAAAACACCTACAGAACATTTATTCGTTAATAAAATTACAAACGTCATTCCTTGTGACTTCCTCTCTAAAATCACTTAATTATTAAATATTTAACGAGTTGACAATAGTGTTATAAAACTATTTTATTTAAATAGTTCCGACGACTTTCTTGAGATCCTATAAAATATGTTTTAATTATTATTTTTGTATGTTTTAAGCATGATAAAATAAGAAATTTTATATAAGCAATCATATTAAATCGATATCAAAATCAATAAATAATGTACAACCCAAAACAGACGGCCGAACTGACGTGACAATGACATTTGGCGCGCTAAACATGGCGGATTTTCGGCCTCATTAGACGGAGATGGAGACATTTACGTATATTCATGTTTCATTTTATGTACGCACTGAAATACTGTTATATTGTTTTCCTGCGAGTTAAAGTGCTGAGTAAGAACGAGATAGATATATGTTTATGTATGTGCCTTCAAAATGGGTGCTATTTATATAAGCAATTGTACGTATAGAACAATATGTCGTGTCCCTACTATATAGGTCTATGATATGATCATATTTAATCAATCATAGCTAAGTAAACAAAATACGAATTTGATACTGACGTTTTGTAGCCGCTTAGGTTTATCAAATTGTTTTTCGTCTCGATCAAGATTATCTGAATTGGCGTAGTTAAGGATTGGAAGAAAGGCTGTGCAAGCGCAGCCTCAGTGCCGGTTGGAAGAAAGTTTCATATCTGTCTATGAGATCCTTAAGATACAATCAATTTCCGCTAAAATCTTGTCTGTGCGTTTGTTAAAAGTCTTAAATAAAAATATACCTACCACTACTATACTAGACGTAAAATCAATGTGTTATTATTTTAAACCAACAAAATTACATTTCCCTTAGTAATGAGTGGCAGGCAGTTAAATTGCTTGTGGTTACCTTCCACAATAATTTCCTCTCTTTGTAACAACTGCTCCTTACAGGAATGCAACCGAAAAACAACAAAAAAATTTTTTTTACGTGTATTGAACACGTTTAGATAATTTGGGTTATTAAAATACGTCTTATTTTATGAATAAAATACGATGAAGCATTTGGGCATAGATTACCTAATACCTATATAATTTTAGGTCGAAACAGTACCTATTGCTAACGTTCAATAGTGCACCCTAATTATTGTTATCTCACACAACAAACAATTTTTTTTTGTTCTTCAAATATTTTTTATGAATCCAAAATGTGACTGTAGTTACGTAGCCGGAAATCACAAACCCAAAGCATAATAGGTGTGTGATTGAGGTCTAAACAGTTATCTCTGCTACCTCGTTTTATATTTTAGTACATCCATCATTCAACCTTTGCGAACGGTAATTTACCATTCGCAGAGGTCACAGTGGTAAACAGTCCGCGTCGCCCTAAGCACGTCATTTCGGATCCTTCCGATCCACTATCGGTGCTTTTATTTATTTTTTATGAATGAAGGATTATTGGTGGTCTCTCCAGTTTCACCAGGACAGGTGGGTGAGCAAAGGCTCAGCCAGAAAGGGTGGGATTTGATAACAGCTGCCTGAGCACTTCCAAAGAAGACCTAACAACTCAAAGACAGCTGCTTCGCGAATGAATTTACTACCGGATCAGAATCGCGATCCGCTGAGAAGATCCGGCTAGAAACTCAATGTGCTGATGCATGAGTTAGATTGCACGTCGAACTATTTGCCGAGTTCGACGATTAGGCTTACCGTGGTTCCTAAGCCTGTTCCTAGCGTTAGAGCTGAAGGCGTCTAGTGCAAAAGTTATTGGATCTGATGGATCCGTAAGGTCGTATCTAGGGCGTCGACGGTGACTAGATCCTGTGTGATCAGTATTCGGGAAGCACGGTGCTTTTAGGTACCACAAGCACCGGTCATCGTTCTCGTCGAAGCAGTCACTTGCGACAAACGGTTCGGCGAGCAAATTAGCACTCAGTCACAGCCTATTTAGGTTCTCGCCGGATCTTCTAATAAAGTCAAAGCTAATCCAGTTACAAATTAATTCAACGTCTACTACAATAGGTAGGTAGCACTTTGCCACTACAAAACGAATCAAATCAGAAAACTCTTCACTGCGGTTTCGTGGTTGGAATTAGGTAAAATGCAATTTGCACAACATTGTTATTCTGAGTTATAATCGAATTAACTGTTTTTGCAAATGCTAAATTAAGGCACGGGACTCTCTTCCTTGTACTTACTGTTTTTGATTAACGATTGCACGTATTGCGATTTTATGCCAATAAATAATTGGCATAAATTGGTGCTGCACCAAAACGGTGTTATTTAGGATTATGCCTTTAATTCTCAAGTCATTAGGAAATTATTATTTTTCCTAGTAAGGATTAAACCAGATTAAATTAATTACATATTATAAATTAAACTAGTTCTTGTGAGTGCAGTAGTTTTTTTTCTAATAAATATATAATATGTACTTATATAGCTAATAACACACACCGAATAATAGCAAACAAATCTGTTCATCACACAAATTCTGTTTGTGTTCACACGATGTGGGCATCGAATCCATGATGACCCTCGGCGCAATATTCAGGTGCTGATTATCGATTGAAATGCGCATTGATTCATGGGGAAATTCGCTACTGCGAAACTTAATAGGGTGAAGTTGTTTGGTAGAC